TTAAGAATTACAAAATCTGTCAAACTATCAAACAATTACTTTGGAAACACTTTATTTTAAGGTACACTTATTAACATCTAACTACCTGCTAATTCACATAGTTGTAGATGGTTAATTTGTCATTAATTAGTATTTATTCAGCAGTTACACACTTAGTCAAGTGCCTCAAAAAGGATCTTGCCAAACTTCAACTAATCCAGAACAGGGCGGCTCGTCTGGCTCTACGGACCAGGGTGAGCGTCATGCATGAGAGGTTATCCAAGTTTACTGTTGAGGACAGATTTACCTGTAGCCGCATTTTGTTTTTTAAAAATGTATTTTACAAAGACCACTGAGCCTGTTTGCACAACTACTATCCTCTAGTGATCTGCATGACTTTATCACAAGTCAAACTACACAGGGACATTTTATACTTCCACTGTCCAGGACTAATGCCCTGAAAAGAATCATTCTGTACAGAGCGATAGCGCTTTGGAACATGCTCCCCTAAACCGTAACTGTTCACAAGCATGAACCAAGTTTTAAGAAAATGTTCAAGAAATACATTGGAAATCGTACATAATTATATTTAGTCACTAGCTATGCATTGTAATTTATTGATATATTATAGTTGTAGTAGTGTTGTGTAGTGTAATATACTATGGAACAGGACTGTATGAACTTATGTGTGAACTTTTTGTTATTATAATTGAACATTTTATTGTAAATTATGCAAACTTGGACACCAGGAAGAATAGTCCTTACCCCAGTAAAGACTAATAGGGATCCAATAAATAAATAAATAAATAAATATTAATGTCTAATTCCCCATAAGCTTATTCTGCTATTAGTTAGACCACAGGTGTCAAACATAAGGCCCGGGGGCCAGATCCGGCCCTCCAAGACCTTTAATGTGGCCCTTGGGTGGTTTTCTACTAAAATATTTTGAATGTTGAAATTGAATTTTTCTTAAAGTTTCAGGTTGTTCATAATATTATAATATAATAACATAATAATAAGAAAGAGTTCATCAATTAAACAATATTTCTGTAATAGATTTGCATTTCTCTGTACAAATATTTGAACTTATTGTTATTTTTGGGGTTTATATGACATGAGTTTTCTGATCCGGCCCCTTTGGGATCAAAGTAGGTTGGATACGGCCCCCGGACCAAAATGAGTTCGACACCCCTGATTTAGACATTTACAAACACTTTCCTGTTAACACACTCTTTATTACTGCTTATTAGTTTGATACTAGGTCATTTTTATCCATGAATTCTGATTCTATTAAGATTTTGGTCATAAGCGTTATAAGGATTATAAGGTATAAGGTTATAAGGTCATAAGGAATAGTAGTACAAGAAACACAGGGAAGTGTAGATATGGCTGAATAAATACGAATTAATGACAAATTAACCATCTACAACTATGCGACTTAGCAGGTGGTTAGATGTTAATAAGTGTACCCTAAAATATAAGTGATACCATTCATTTTTTATGTTAAAATGTCATTAAAATTGTGTCTACATTCTCAGGGAATAGTCAAAATAGAGTGTTTTTACGTTAAATGGATCAAAGATGTCTTATGGCACCTTTATTTCATGCACTTTTTGACAATTTTCATATGAAGTAACACTTGATCATGCCTTTTAGCGTACTACAAATGGCTCACGAATTTCACAGTTTCATCTTTTGGGAAAAATGTACACATTAATGGGTTAATATAGACGCAGTGATCCTTTAGAAAATAACTTGAGATTGATAAAGTCAGGTTACAGTGCAGTCCACATAAAACACTACTGAACACAACAGATCATACGTACAGTAGAGGACGGAAACATATAACTTTTATTGAACTCTGTCGCAAACATGTCAAATGTCAGTGGAAAAAAAGTGACATTTACAGTTCATGAAAGGAAAGTATTCAAGTATTTTCTGTGTAACACAACACACGGCGGCAGCTTATTGAACATAATACAGTTTATTGCAGATATTTATAAAGCTTTATGGCCTAAGTCGAGGCAGGTGAAGTGGAGCGCAGGGTTTTTTAATGGGACCAGAGCAGAGCAGCCACAGCACTTAAACCTTCTAATATGAGAAACAGAGTCAGAGTTTACGGTGCATTCACATCAGCACGTGGACAAAACAAACTAAACGTAGACTAAACCGGACCAGAACTAAACCAGAATGAGGCTTTACTCAAATTACAAGCATAACTACACAACTGAAACAAACAAAAATGATGAAAAATGAACCAGAACCAAGACCAAACCAAGTCTCCATCAGAACTAAACCAGGACCAAAACTACTACTGCTTCTATAGAGGTCAAAAAATCAGCCAAATAAAAAAAAATAAAGCTCACAGAGGGTGAATTTACAGTTTAACTTTCTGTAAAAATGACAAATTGTTCTTGTTTTTGTCCATTTTGATTTAATAAAAGCTCTTTGGCATAGAGCCTGTACAGACCAGAGATAACGATGAGTAATTATTAAAAATATTGATATTTTAATAGTCTATAGTGACAGTTATTCGGAGTAATCGTTGCAGCTTTATACACTTACATCAAAGTGAAATTACAAGCCTCTTTGAGATGTTTGCGTTCCGATAAAAATAAAAGATGTGATTAGCGCCGTGTAAATGTCGCTGCGAACTTGAATTTCCCTCGGGATCAATAACGCGTCTCTCTCTTTTGTCTGATAAAAACACAGTTTAGCTGAGTGTGAAAACAGAATCCCACATTTTCAAAGGTAAAGAAGCGCTTCCCCTAACTCGCCTCCAAATGCAGAGTCGATATTAGAAAAACTTTTCAAACTGAGAGTCACTGAGGAGAAAAAAAACGGGAAGCACTGTCTTAAAAATGTAAATCAGCAGTAATATTTTGTGACGTGTTCATGGTAAAAGTTTAACGTTTACAAAAACTGAAGTAGCTGCATCCTTAAACGACAAAGGCCACTGACAACTAAGTAAAGCCCCTTTTTGAAAATAACACAGAACGTGAACTCAATTGTGCAACAGTGTGCAAAATTTCTATCGGTTTAGTCCCCAACACTTGACGTGCAATTACAAAATCAGTTCAGTTACTATTTTTGTGCATTTGATGTTTCAAAATGTGTTGAAACCAAATGTCAAATTCCATTCAGTGTGTTATAGTAGTGATTTTTTTTTCCTCCCAAACAGAATTTAGATGATGTTTTTGAAAATACACTGCAAAAATGTGATATCAGTGAGTTAGAATGGCTTATTTATGTTTATTTATGTTTTGGGTAATGGAGACTTCTTATTATTTATGTATTTGTTTGAATATTTTTAATAATAATAATAATAAGAAGAAGACATTTTATTTATTAGGCGTCTTTCTGGACACTCAAGGTCGCCTTACAACAACATAAACAAGTTAAATATTATTAAAACATACAGTTAAAAGCATAGAGTTAAAGTGGGACAGCGTTTTAATTGATTGATTGTGTTTAATTGACCTGACTATTCTAAACTTCTATTCTATTTCTGACTGAAACCAGGAACAGACTTCCTCAAACCATCCAAAAACGATATGCAAAAATGCACAGATCGACTCACTTAATTCAATTTATGTGTACAGTCCCTCAGTTGTCGAGGTAGAAAGGCGAAATTCAATTTGTGAACAGGACAAAAGCTGATTTGGTCGAAAACGTTTCACAGCTCACTTCAAACCATCTAAAAAACGATTTACAAAAATACACAGATCGACAAACTTAATTTCATCGCGTTGCAGTGATTAAGAAGCTCAGGTAAAGTTTTACAGTGCAGCAGAAACTATTTGTAAGATATTTACCGTGTACTATGATCTATTTTACTGAAACTTGTATAATAAACATCTTCAAACCGTCCAAAAAAATACTGTATAAACAAAAATACACAGACTGACAAACTTAATTTAATCGAGCTGCAATGATTAAGAAGCTCTGGTAAAGTTTTAGAGTGCAGCACAAACCATTTGTACGATATTTACCGTCACTAAACTCAGTATTGTTTTGTTTTTTAATGAAGGACATGAGAATCAAAGGCTTTTAGACACAATTACTGGACAAGTTTTCAAAAAATTTAAGATGAAAACGTAAGACAAACACAGAAAGCAGCAGTAAGAAAACAGAGGCGTCAGATACTCATTTGTGTAAAGTGAATAGTCGATTTTTTTTTTTTATTCACAGGCCTCATATTATAACGATAAGGCTGAACTCAAAACAAACATGGGTCAGACTCGCTGCTTTTAAGAGAAATACAGCTGATTCTAGTAAAATAAATAAATAGAATAGAGGTTTTTGCCCTGACGTCGTTTTATTTGGAAAGTGTCACTTGACGTTCAGACTGAGACGCAGAACTATCGACATCTTAATACACAAAATATGCTTCTGTGTTATATTTTCTGTCTCATTTTTGTCTGTTTTGGCTCCACAAGTCTTATTTCTTCCACATACAGGCTGAAAAACATCTACAAATTCACTCGTGTCTGCTCCAAAAGTATAAAAGTGAGAAATACACGTGTAATCTGGTTTAGCTGTTCACTGATTACTTGATTTTCTTGTTTTAAATGTCAAATATACCAACTAAATATTCCTCAGAGTTGTAAACTTGTATATATTTTATCAAACTGCAGCCGCTTTTTCACATTTTAACCACGTTTTGAGTTTTTTAGAAGAGAAAATGTCACGAAAAGTACCCACTGACCCTCATATACTTCACTAAAAAAGCTCTAAAAGTTGTGATTATCTGTGTAACTTCTTTAGTAGGATTTGTAGTATTTATAGTAGTACAAGCAGTAGTAGAAGTAGTTGCAGTAGAAGTAGAAGTTGGTAGTAAGCAAGTTTAAGAAGTCGTAGCGTAGTAGCAGTAGAAGTAGCAACATAAGTAGTAGTTCAAGTCTAAGTAGTAACAGTAGTATTGGTTGTGGAAGTATAATAGTTGTAGTATTAATAATAGAAATACAGTTATAGTAGTAGTAGTTGTAGTAGTAGTAGTAGTAATATACTGGAGTACTTACATGATGTTGTCAGTGTAGCCGTGTCTGTAGATCTGTCACGGTGACGGCCTGAAACTGGAGCAGGTGTTTCTTCTCTCACTGCGTCTTCAAAAAAAAAAAAAAAAAAAAAAAAAAAAGAGGAAGAAGAAGAAAGAAAATACTGCACCGTCCCGTCAAGAGTTAAATGGAGTTCATCAAAGCAGGCGAAAACTTTAATTCTGCTTAAACTTTACCAAAAATAGTAACTACGTCGCAAAAAAACAAAATCTAATCAGGTTAAGACGACTTGAATTGAGAAAGTTTTGTCATGGTTTGAGTAAATTTCAATGGACAAGTAGAATTATCTGGCAGTGGAGCAAGACTTTTTGTGTTAAAATGTGAAAATACAACACTTAACGTAAGAAAAAACAACAACTTTTTACACTTTGCACTCGAACTTTAATGTTGCTTGAATTAAGAAAAACAAACTTTTACTTGTCAAGTTGAATCGACTCAAATAAAGTAAAATATTCGTAATTTAAGTCGTTTTAACTCACCTATATATTGTTTTTTTTTCAGTGTGTACCTCAAGAGTATTCTGAATGTATATATTTATGTGTACTTTTGTTTTATTGTCATTTTTGTATTGCGTTGCCATGTGTGCACCTTTGACCTCAACACCTGTAGCCTGCTCCTTTGCACCAGATCTAAACTTAGGCTTTTATAACGGCAATTCTTTCACCGGTCGTGCACGTTATAACAAAATATCACAAAAGAGTGATGGATCAAAGGCCCAGTTATAAACTACAGACGACATATTGGAGAGAGACTGGATATGCTTACAGGTCAGATCTGTGGAGAGGCAAACCCACTCCTCGTTTTTATTAAGAAATGAATCACTTGGAATTGAATAAATGCAAAATAAGCAAGATTAATTTCACTGTAATATTATTGTGGTACATTTTGGGGGAAATGAAAGCATCGCCATGGAGACAAGCTGGTAAATGAAAGACAACAAAGAAAAGAGTCATATGATTTATGATTTATAAAAACTTTATTTGAATTATGAAGTAAAAAACAATGAATCATATGCCAACTTTTATTGCACAATCCTGTTATATTTTCCATTTTTGCTCCGTATACAGACTATGTACATCCCATGTTTGTTTGTTTTTTCTGAATATTGCGAGTTTCATGTTGTATTTTTAATTAATTATCATTTATAATTGGGGATGTAACAATAACCAAAATATCGTGATATCGTATCGTCAAAGTTCTCACAATAATATCATGAACCATCACAATATATCGAATTACAAGTCTCTTCGCTTAAATTAAGACAAAGCGAGACAAAGACGACATTTCAGTGCAGATTACATGAAGAAATAACAGTTCTAAGCACTTTTAAGTCTTTGGATTAAGTCTTGTCAAGGCATTTTAAGAGGAAAAAGTCACATATTAACAGTTTTGTTTGTAAGCCTCCACAAAATATCACAATAAATATCGCACCGTGAGATGTATATATCGTGAAAATATCGTACAGAGATATTTAGATATCGTTACATCCCGAATCGTGAGCCTCCCCACCACATCGTGAGGTTTCCCACAAAATATCGCAATAAATATCGTACCGTGAGGTTCATAATGTGACGATATCGTATCGTGAGACTTGGATATCGTTACATCCCTATTTATAATTGTATTTCATAATTGAATTGTTGCGTGCACGAGCCCAGGGACTGCAGATATTAAAGTAATCCTACATAAAAACTTCAGAATATACTCAGCTGTTCATTTAAATCTTTATATACAGGATACACGACCAGTCAAAAGTTTGAGAACACCACACTTTTTCCAGGTTTTTTATTGTTTACTATTTATGTTTTCTAAACTTTTGATTCATGAAAGTGTCCACCTTTGGCAGATATAACAGATGAACACACTTGTGGCTCGTTCTTTTTTACAACAGAAATCAAATATTCTTCAGAAAGTTCTTCCCAAGTCTGTTGTCAGATCTGTGGAGAGTCGTCCCCACTCAACGTTTTTTTTTTTTTATTAAGAAATGAATCACTTGGACTTGAATAAATGCAAAACAAGCAAGATTAACACCACTATAATATTATTGTGGTACATTTTGGGGGAAACGAAAGCATCGCCGTGGAGACAAGCTGGTAAAAGGGAAGAGTCATATGATTTATGAAAACTTTATTTGAATTATGAAGTAAAAAATATATATATTTCAAGGCAACACAATGAATCATATGCCAACTTTTATTGCACAATCCTGTTATATTTTCCATTCTTGCTCCATATACAGACTATGTACATCCTATAATTGTTTCTGAATTTTGCGAGTTTCATGTTGTATTTTTAATTAATTATCATTTATAATTGGGGATGTAACAATAACCAAAATATCGTGATATCGTATCGTCAAAAAGTCATGAACCATCACAATATATCGAATTACAAGTCTCTTTGCTTAAATTAAGAGTTAGACAAAAAAAGCGAGACAAAGACGTACATTTCAGTGCAGATTACATGAAGAAATAACAGTTCTAAGCACTTTTAAGTCTTAGTCTTTGGATTAAGTCTTGTCAAGGCATTTTAAGAGGAAAAAGTCACATATTAACAGTTTGTTTGTAAGCCTCCACAAAATATCACAATAAATATCGTACCGTGAGATGTATATATCGTGAAAATATCGTACAGAGATATTTAGATATCGTTACATCCCGAATCGTGAGCCTCCCCATCATGTCGTGAGATTTCCCACAAAATATCACAATAAATATCGTACCGTGAGGTTCATAACGTGACGATATCGTATCGTGAGACTTGGATATCGTTACATCCCTATTTAGAATTGTATTTCATAATTGAATTGTTGCGTGCACGAGCCCAGGGACTGCAGAAGGTAAAAGTAATCCTACATAAAAACTTCAGAATATACTCAGCTGTTCATTTAAATCTTTATATACAGGATACACGACCAGTCAAAAGTTTGAGAACACCACACTTTTTCCAGGTTTTTATTGTTTATTATTTATGTTTTTAAACTTTTGATTCATGAAAGTGTCCACCTTTGGCAGATATAACAGCTGAACACACTTGTGGCTCGTTCTTTTTACAACAGAAATCAAATATTCTTCAGAAAGTTCTTCCCAAGTCTGTTGCAGAAGTTCCCATAAATGTGTGACACTTGTAGGTTTTTTTTGGCTTCCACTCTTCTGTCCAGTTCATCCCAAAACCAGCGTGATTGAGGTTTAAGTCTGGACACTGTGCTGGACTCTCCATGTTTTCAAGTTTAACATCTTTCTCTTTTTTCCTGAGGTGGTTTTGGCAGAGCTTGGACTTGTGTTTTGTAACTTCTATCTTTTTTTTTTTAACCTCTGTCTGTTCAGTTTTTAACTTTGTACCATTTCAAGCTCTTCACTGGACTTGCACGACTTAAAGTGCAATAAATAACTGGAAAAACTGAGTGTTCTAAAACTTTTGACCAGTAGTGTAGTTTTTTTTTTTCATATTATGCAACAAATGTAATCTAATCTAACTTTATTTGTACAGCGCAACAAGGTCGACCAAAACGCTTAAAACCCAAGACAATGTTAAGCAAACATAACAATACTGACATATTAAAAACAAAACTTTTTACGCTGTATCCTCAAGTATCTGTTCCTGATTTTTACGAAAATGTGAAAAATAAAACAGAACTTCATTTTACACTGGTCCAAAGTTATTCTTTAGCTTATCCATTCATTCCGAGCATCCTAATTACTCATAGGCTGCGTTCAGACTGCAGCCTGAAGTGACCCAAATTTTTTGGCCCCTATGTGACCTGTGTCTGATCTTTTAATGACAGTCTGAACGACACAGATCTGATTTTTTCAAATGTGACCCAGGACACTTGGATATGTGCTCCTGAAACCGATACATATCTGATCTTTTGACATGCGACTTCAGTCTGAACGGACAAAGTGCATTCATCCACCTACACGTTATCAACAAGCCACAAACGTCACTATTCTGCGCTGAAGTAGGTGAAAATTGTTAATGAACTCCATGTCACTGAAGTGAAGCACATCACCACTCACCACTCTTGGCTCCATCTCCGCATCCACACGTTCCTTTCAACGGACTGAACACAAAACACCACGACCAAAAACTCGTCCTTCTCCTTCTCAATCTCCTCCTTAAAACAAGTAAGTTGTTCATGTTCTGGCTCCGGTACGAGAGGAACTTTAAAATCTCCAGGTGCTCAATGCTGCGTCCATGTTTGGACAACTTCCGTAAACACAGAGACGCTCACTGCGGTTGACATCGTGTCTCCAGTGTCACATGCGGGACACTTTCGGGCCGTTTAACGTTCACACTGGAGTCACATACAAGTCGCATTTAATTGGAAATGTGAACGACCTCGCAAAAAACATCGGATTTCACCAAAAAATCGGAATTGAGCGTTAAGCCCTGCAGTCTGATGTGACGCCAAAGTGGAATTCTGCTTTCATAAGATGACAACAGCAACTAGAATGCTAACGCGCACTTCCTAATTATCGAACAATAACGCAACAGAAGCAGAGAAAACACAGCTGACTCATTCTGACACCAAGAGCTGCTTATACAATACACTTCGCTTCATGGCCTTTAAAAGCAGCACACATCATTATTTACACGTTATAATCTCGTCTTTTTTTTGTCTTCTTCTTTCTTTCTCGTGTCCCGTGTTGTGGAGCACGACTCCTCTCAGATCAGAGCTCGAGGAGGAGCAGGGGGCTTGGTTCTGCTGTGGCCGTTCGCAGCTGTGGGGCTGAGATAAAGAGGACAGAGTTAGAGCAGATTTTCACACTAATTAAGCTCAATAATGAAGTGTGAGTGAGTCTATGTGAAGGTCACACTGATACAAAGTGATTAAACTTGCTGGGGAATATTGAAAATGGACCGCAAAAAATGAGTTGAACTTGGGAGATTTATCTTATTTTAGGAGTTTTGACAAGTTCAGATTTATTGATTAAACTTTCTTTTCAAATTAGATTATTCAGAGATAAAACAACCCTTATTTTTATCACAATGAGAATATTTCTGTTAAATTATTTGACTGATTACAAATTATTTCTAGGTTTCCACTGTATTTTTTCTTGTAATCATGGTAGTATGAGGCTGAAACCAGAAAGTACTTTTTTTTTTTTTGAGTTATGTTTAGTTTAAAAATGTTGAGTTAAATAAATGAATGTAAATATAATGATTTTGTAAACTGTGTAATGTTTATCAGTAACTTTTTTGTTATAAATACACATTTTGTGATCATTCTCAATAAATTAGATTTGATATAACTCAGAAAAATATGTATTTCATTCAAGTACAAAGTCAGTGTAGTAAGTCGAATAAGTAGAAAACAAAAAAAGTAAAGCATCTTAAAACATCTTAAAACATAAAAATCAGGAGTTACGAACTTGACAAATCTAAATGAGTTAAAACAACTTAACACAAGAGAGTTTAACTAAGAGATAATATTGATTATTGGTGAGAAGAGAAAATCGTTTACCCTGGACACTGGCAGTATTTCGTTTGTTTTGTCTTCTGCATCTTCATGAATCGTCGCTATTGGGAAAGAAAATATATTTTTAGTGAGAAAAGACTTAAAAGAACATATCATGCACTCTTGAGGCTTTAAGTCCCTTTTGAACATACTTTTGGTCTCGTCTAAACTAAAATAATTTCTGCATTTGGAAAATAGACTTTATAAACTACATTTCCGTTTCCAGTGAGGCGTTCAGGTGTTGGAGCGCCCTCTGCTGTCCGCAACAGGAATAGAAAAGTAAACGATTAAAGTTCTTATGATATGATTTGCTATTCTAATATCCAGTCCAGTCCAGTCCTACTTTATTTGTATAGCACATTTTATAAACAAGACAGTTTCCAAAGTGCTTCACATCAGCAGAATCATGTTTCAACCATGAGGAAACTAATAGAGTCAATAAATAAAATAAAAACAACAAAACCGATGAAAAAAATAATAAAATCAATACATAAAAGCAGTACTAAAAAAATAGATACTAATAATTAATTAATTAATAAAATAAAAACAATTAATACAACAATAAAACAATAAATAATAAATAAATAAAAAATAAAATAAATATATTATTATTATTATTATTATTATTATTATTATTATAATAATAATAATAATAATAATAATAATAATAATAATAATAATAATAATAATAATAATAATAATAATAATAATAATAATAATAATAATAATAATAAATACAAATAATAAAAATAAAATTAAATATAAAGAAAGAAAGAAAGATAAAGAAAGAAAGAAATAGGACCACACAACTTCTGTGGTATTAAAAGCCAGAGAATAAAAGTGGGTCTTAAGACGAGACTTAAAACACTCCACTGTGAATAGAGTTTGTTATGAACACAGTTTCACCATCGAATGAGTCTGGTGATGGTTTATGGGCTTAAAAACTGCGTAGGAAAAGTCCTAAAGTTTTATCTGTGATGTAACAATACGGGCAAAATGTGAAAAGAGCATTTCTGAGGCTCAGAGAAAACAACTTGGATTAACGAATTCATGAAACAAGCATGAATTAAGCAAAAACACAACTCCAGGTGTGTTTTTGATTTAACATGGTTGAACAGTTTTGCATGATACGTGCTCTTTAAACGTGAACTTAAAGATGTGGTCACCTTTCTTCTGGTTATCTGGTTGTACATGATGAGGATGAGCACCCAGAGCAGGACGACCACAAAGCCTCCTCCAATGGCAGCCCACACCCACCAGCTCAGGCCCAGTACCAGTGCAGGAGGAGCCGTCTGTGTGCTGTTTACACCTGTAACATGTGTTTATTTAGAATGGAAAAATATCACTGGGTTTCAGATCACAACACAACATTCTGTAGGCCTGTGATATGATGGAATAGATCTTATGATAAGATTATGTTAAAACAAAAATCTGATTAAAGGGACAGTCCTGAATTTTGGACATAGGGCCTCGTTTCCTAGTGAGCCAGAGTGTTGGAGACGTGTGGAGACACTTTTTTAAATATTCCATCCAGTCCTTGTATTTGCAGAGGTCGCTGGTGCTAGGCTAGTGCATGTCAATGGCCATAGTTATCCTGCCACTAAAAACAGTCTTACCCACTCCACAAAACACGTGGAAGCAAAACAATTATTACACCAGACTGTTGATGTAAATGTCTGTGTTGATAAAATATTTTTAGAAGTAAAACCAACCTTGCATTGAAGGATTTATGTCTCAGCAGCAGCAGCGAGTTGAACTTCCTGATAGAAAGTTTAGCAGCGGCGGACTGATATACACTGGTCCCTCGTTTATCACAGGGGTTACGTTCCACAAATAACCCGCGATAGGTGAAATCCGTGAAGTAGTCAACTTTATATTTTACCATTATTATATCTGTTTTAAGTCTGTAAAACCCCACACCACACACTTTTTACACTTTTCTCAGACAGGACAGTTACAACCCTTTTTTCATCCTTTCATCCTTTTCCTCCTTCTTTATGTATCGAACCGAAGATTAATTTATTCCGTAATGGAGCCCTACACAGGTCCATTTTTGGAGACCCACTCCCGCGTAGTACAGGACTGCACCAGCCTGTTAAAGTGAGATTATATCAAACTTTTGCACTGCATACGCCACGGACTGAACCAAGACTAAACCAGGACTAACCCAGGACTGATTCCAGGACTGAACTAGGACTAAAGCAGGAGTAAAACAGGAGTAAACCAGGGCTAAACCAGAACTGGACCAGGACTCACTGTCGGGACAGGGTCAGAGGTGACCACAGGAGGAAAGACCAACGTAGAGCTTCACACCTCACAGTAAGCGCGGCTATTGCCCGATCGCGCTGCACTTCAGAATCACATTGCTAGAGATCGAACATTTATGTAAATTTGTCAAGCTGAATGCATTCTGTACTGTACAGGAGACACTGCACGGAGGAGATTGATTGACAGTGGTCTGCAGCCAATCAGGACGCAAGGGAAGGAACACTGTAAAGAGAAAAAAAAAAAAAAAAAGCATGCAAAATGGCTCTAAAAAAATCCGCAAAACAGCGAGGACGTGAAAGGTGAACCGTGATATATCGAGGGACGACTGTATGAGAAAATAGTCCGTCAACATGCAACGATTCACGCGATGCAAGGTTAGATTTATTTCAAACATTATTCTATCAACACAGACATTTATATCAACAGTCTGGTGTAATAATAGATTTGCTTCGGGTGTTTTGTGGAGTGGGTAAGACTGATTTTAGTGGCAGGAAAACTACGGCCATTGAAGTCATATGTCCAAAATGCCGGACTGTCCCTTTAAAGTCTAAATTGAGACACAGAGCTTCAGACAGAGCAGTGCCAACAGTTAGCATCACACCCCCAGGGAATGTGGATGACACCAGATGCAAAATATCAACATAAAAAAAAAAGGTGTTGATATAAATTGATCACATTTTTATAAAAATCTCAAATGAAACTCTACAGCTGCTTGTGAGTTTCTGCTTCCTGTTATGCTTTACCACATTTTGAGGACTGTTTGCTGATTCAGAATGTAAAATATTTAGTTTTAAATTGTTAAATGCTATGGCAACGGTTTAAATTTTGCATCACTGTGAACCCCACGGATACTCACAGTTTGAACATGTTTCCTCGTTGTCTACAGTCGTTCTCGTGGTCGAGGGCGGCGGGGTTGTTTGGTCACGTGGTTCTAATCAAACAAGAAAAAGAAAGAACCTGAGTGACATTTCAGTAAATAAAATACGATGAAAATTAACTTGAAATTCAAAACTGCGGTTAGACGCACACTTTAAATCTGATTATTAAAATGACTTCAACGGCAAAATCATCTCATTTCCTCCTCGTTTCTTCCTTCCTGATCACGGTCCCTCTGATCACTCGCATCCGATTTTGCAGTTTGTGTGTCATTTTAATAATCTTAAAGGTTCGGAAATCAGATTGTAATCCGATTTTGGTGTGCACGTGAACAAATATCAAAACAGTGGCTTTGTGCTTTAAAAACATGCAAATATCATTATATAAACAGACACATATATAGACAAAGGATTACTAATAATACTAATTAATTATGTCAGTGTTGTTAGTTTTATTTTGTTTATGTGTGAATATATTCAATTTTCAACTCACCATTTGATTTTTTTTATCCATTTCTATTATATTTCATTTTAAAAATACGTTTCACCACAATAAATGCACTAGATCACATTATGTAGATCCATAGCAAATTATTTATATTTTAAGAAGATGTAAAAGAAAATATTTAAATCAGAGTCCACATTGGATTTTTGTGTGATAATAATACATTCACATACATACACACAAACATTCATCCTTTTCGGTGTTTTTAAATCAAAACTGTGCAACTTTCTTATATTTTATGCCATACTGTTCACGTTTGTGGTTTTTCAGTGCAATAAAAAAACATTCACAAAGAAAAAGCAAACTTTCATTTCAGTCTATTTGTTGGCTTTAAAGTTACACAGTACCGTATTTTCCACACTATAGGGCGCACTAAAAAGTCTTTAATTTCATCAAAAAATGACTGCGTGCTTTATAATCCAGAGCGCCTTATATATGAATTTATTGGGGTGTCTTAGTACGACTTTAGTAAACTACAAAGCCGCAACACTTGCAGCATTACAGCTACTGTAGTCAAGAGCGTCAGGAGTAATACATACTGTGATTCCTTTTAATATCAAAATGCACCTGTCAAGAGACACGCTCACAACGCCGACTTTAAACTCAAGGCTGTTATAAAGTTAAAGTGTGAGCTGCGTGGGAGCAGTGGATGAGAGAAGGAGAACACACATTCACCAAGACAGGGAGACAGCGCCGAGCGACTTACACCACGATCTGCCAACGGAACATGGACGCCTGGACTAAGGATCAGTATCAACTGTGGTCCGAGCTTTCACCAAGACCAGAATCATCACTGAACTGCCAGGGAACAGTAACCACACTGACTCGGATAATGACGAGAGGGATGTGGACGTGCTGGACGCCGTAATCGCCCAACTGTTTGAACAATCATGAGTTATTGTGAATATGCTTGTTACGACCCCCAGCTTAGTTCAGTATTTTGTGGGTGTGTTTGTGCTGCTGCTGTTCTCTCTCTCTCTCTCTCTCAGTCCCTTCCAGATTCCAGAGAGTGGGAGGGCCAATCCAATGAGCTGCACCTGATTGTGGGTGTGGCATACCACCTTTAAAAGCTGCTGCTGGAGACATGCAGCCACAACTTAGCTATCATCCTGTTTTTAATAAATATCTATTTTTGTACCGTTTTTAAACATGTTCGAACCCTGAGCCAGTTCATAACAACGCTTACAATTTAGCGCCGCAGACAGTATTGTTTTTAAGCATTACAATTGAACAAAGTTGAAATTTATTGTGAACACGTTAAATAAAGTTTGACTGACTTATCTAACTGTTGTGTTTTGTTTCTTATAGTCCAGTGTGGTTTATATGTGAAAAAAGTTCGAAAATCGACCATTCAATGACAGCGCGCCTTATAATCCAGGGCGCCCTATAGTGTGGAAAATACGGTAACCATCGTTTTTGCCTCTAAGTTTCACATCTAGAAACCAAAATAAACTTCACCTCTGACTTGTATCTGTACCGACTCTTTCATGACTTTTCCGTTGACCGTGATCTGACACTCCCACGAGCCCGAGTCCTTCATGGTCACATGACTCAGCGTGACCGTCGCCTCCGCATAGCTCTGCCCATCAGGCCCTCGCCAATGCACCGTCGAACCCCCGCCACGTCCAGACACATCACAGCGAAAAACCGCACCGCTGCCCGTCTGCAGAGGGCCGGGGGGAGCGACCGACACTGGAAGACAAAGGAAATGTGAGTTAAAAGCTCCATTTTCTTAAAAATATAAACAGAACGAATTATTTTAAACAGTTTGCAGAGGTCCAAAGTTATTCATGACTTACCACGTTAATTATTCACCGCGATGAATTGTCAAAACCGAAAATGAGACTCTAATCGATACCGAAACTAGTATCAAAATTATTTAAACTAAAACGTCACAGAACAGAAATTAATCTCTCCTCAAAAGCTTTAGAAGGATCTTGAGCTGAATCAGAACAAGTATAGATTTTATTAGATTAATATACACTCCTGGACCATTATGTGATAGTATTTCGTTGTATTTGTTATGATATTTTCTAGTTTTAATCATATGCATGTCCAAAAGAGATTTTTTTGGGGTCGCCTTGTCACGATCTGCATGTAGGTTGAAATGTTAAGACATGTTTTGTGTCATTTCTAATCTTTTTGTAATTGTTTTATTGACTATTTTGTTCCAGTATTGTTGGTTCAATTGAATGTTGAAAAAAAAAAAAAGAAACGATCGACATTTAAGGTCCAAATAGGCGACTTCTTTTATTGTTGCTTCAATGACTGTTTTTCATTGTTTAAAACTTGAGTAAAACTAATTGTTCAGAGACATGATCACTCAGTCAACAACAAACCAGGACTAAACCAGAACTAAGACCAGGACTAAACCAGAACTAAAATCAGGACTAAACTAGAACTAAAACCAGGAATAAAACCAGGACTAAACCAGGACTAAGACCAGAACTAAACCAGAACTAAAATCAGGACTAAACCAGAACTAAAACCAGGAATAAAACCAGAACTAAAACCAGGACTAAACCAGGACTAAGACCAGGACTAAATCAGAACTAAACCAGAACTAAAATCAGGACTAAACCAGAACTAAGACCAGGACTAAACCAGAACTAAGACCAGGAATAAAACCAGGAATAAACCAGGACTAAACCAGACTAAACCAGAACTAAAACCAGGACTAAACCAGGACTAAAACAGACTAAACCAGAATAAACCAGAACTAAACCAGGACTAAACCAGAACTAAACCAGAACTACCAGATAAACCAGACTAAGACTAAACCAGAACTAAACCAGAACTAACTAAACCAGTAAACCAGACTAAACCAGAACTAAAACAGGAATAAAACCAGGAACTAAACAGGAAAACCAGCAGAACTACCAACTAAGATAAACCAGAACTAAACCAGGACTAAACCAGAACAGACCAGTAAACCAGAACTAAACCAGGACTAAACCACAGAACTAAACCAGACAGACTAAACCAGAACTAAACCAGAACCCAGGAAACCAGAAAGTAAACGACAGACAGACTAACTACAGTACAGAGACATTTAATAAACACAGTAAAACTAGAACCAGAACTAAAACAGACTAAACCAGAACTAAAACCAGAAACCAGAAAACCAGGACTAAACCAGACTAAACCAGAACTAAGACTAAACCAGAACTAAAACCAGACTAAACCAGACTAAACCAGACTAAAACCAGAACTAAACCAGACTAAACCAGACTAAACCAGACTAAACCAGAATAAAAACTAAACCAGGACTAAACCAGGACTAAACCAGACTAAGACCAGATAAACCAGAACTAAAACCAGGAATAAAACCAGGACTAAACCAGGACTAAGACCAAACTAAACCAGAACTAAAACCAGACTAAACCAGGACTAAACCAGACTAAACCAGAACTAAACCAGAAGTAAAACCAGGACTAAACCAGAAGAAAACTAAACCAGAACTAAAACCAGAATAAAACCAGGACTAACCAAACTAAACCAGAACTAAACCAGAAACTAAACCAGGACTAAACCAGACTAAACCAGAACTAAACCAGAAGTAAAACCAGACTAAACCAGAAGAAAACCAGGACTAAACCAGAACTAAAACCAGGAATAAAACCAGGACTAAACCAGGACTAAACCAGAACTAAACCAGAACTAAACCAGAACTAACCAGAAGAAAACCAGGACTAAACCAGACTAAAACCAGGAACTAAAACCAGAACTAAACCAGAACTAAACCAACTAAACCAGGACTAAACCAAACAAATCAGAACTAAACCAGAAGTAAAACCAGGAAACCAGGACTAAACCAGAACTAAACCAACTAAACCAGGACTAAGACCAGGACTAAACCAGAATAAAACCAGGACTAAAACCAGGACTAAACCAGACTAACTAAACCAGAAGTAAAACCAGGACTTAAACAGGACTAAAACAGGATTTAACTGGGACTAAAGCTACGAATGATTAATCAATGATTCTGCATCATTTTGAGTAAAAAAAAAACCACATCAAATATTACAGATTTTCACTGGGCTGGTGCCTTTATGTTTGTACTGTGAGGTTTTTTTTTTTTTTTTTTATAAATAACCTGGGTGTAAATAGCAACAATGGCTATTTGCCCGATGTGTGAATAATAATATTAGCTGTTTACACCCAGGGTTCAAATAGCATCTGCCATAAAATATTCTCATTAATGTTCGGTAAATGGTCGAATCCACTTTTATGTTGCGATTTTCCAATAATGTCTGTTGACTTGGGTCGCGAAGGTTTGTGACTTTTAAAATATGGGTCCACAACGTTCTTGCAAAATCTATGACAAAAACGAGCACATATTCAGCTCAAACTCGATGAAAAGGTGAAGACTCCAGTGTGAGTTGAAATGCATCGACGTAAATAAAGCAAACTTCAAAAACAGTACGTTGTGGACGCTTGATTTTTTTGTCTAACAGCTAAAATGTGACTTGTTTTAAACTGTGAAACCATTTTGAGTAAACACAGTAAGATTTGGAAACTGAATTTATATCTTGATTTAAGCAGTACTTTTTTAGTTAGAAGTTTTACATTAAATTATCTGATGTACAGGATAATAACTTATATTAAATGTTTGCTCGTCTTACTTCATTTACACTTTCATTTCTCGTTTAATACATCATTTAAGACTGATTCCACAAGTACCACAGAAGTAGACCGGCATTTTACTTTCACTACATTCGTGTGTTTTTACCTGCACTGACGATGAGTCTGTGCTGCTCCTCTTTGTCTTTGACTCTGCAGATGAACAGTCCAGCGTCTGCAGGAGTGACTTGAGAAATCTCCAGTTCTCGCTCGTATTTCAGTCGACTTCTTCTGACGATTTCCCCTTTACCTGCGACAGAGTTTTACACAAACAGGTTCAAGATACGCCACAAAAATAGTTCACGTTTTTGTTGTTGTTGGTTTTTTTTTAATTACTTGATCTGTGCAGCGCCTTTTAAACTATTCAATGGACAAAAAATATTCAGTTTTCTCATGGACACTTCAAAAATAAAATCTAGATGTTAAGTGTAGAGAACTGATATGGGCACTTTCTTATTTTTTACAGTAAAGTTGATGTCAAACTCAAATTCACAGAGGCCAAAATTAAAAACTGGGATTAAATCGTGGGCCAAACTAAATATTTATTAAAAATTTTCAACAACATCTGCATGTTTTTGCTTCTTTCGAGATATGTAATGTTAAACTTTTCTTATTAAAATAAAAGTTTTGCTTAAACACTGAATCCAGACCAAGCAGAATATAAAATAACAACAACATTTTAAATAAATAATGCCTCTATAGTCGGCAGGAAGCTCTAATACATGTTTGATATTATCTCGAGGGCCAAATATAATTATATCGCGGGCCAAATTTGGTCCCCGGGCCTGAGTTTGACCTGTCTGATCTACATTTATCGTTTACAGTGCCGATAGTGTCTGGAAATTACAAAAAGTCGACCAAGTAACTTAATAAATCCAGTTAAACCAATGAAACTACTCAACCAAGATAAAGATAATGAATTGAAGTCTTTTACAATTACATTTTAGCTGTAATTACCGTATAATTTATCGACCTATTAAAGCCGCATGAGTGGCGTACGAGCTTTTATAAGTTCAATTTTCTTTCTGCGCTTAGAGATATTGTTCTTGAAATAAAATTCTGTTCAAATTCATTCAAAACGAGGTCAAAATGACTCAGTTCAAGCCAATTGAACACAAGTATATTTTTGTTTACATTGTACAAATCTATAAAATAATACATGTACGTTTGAATCACCTCTTAGCGGCATCCCTGTCCTCGGGTTGGTGGTGTACACGGGCTGATCGTTGTGCAGCCATTTTAACACCGACACTCCGTCTGAGATGCCACACTTCAGAGACGCCGTTCCTCCAGGTTTGGTTTGGACCACAGTCTCTGCAGCACACTGCGCGCTCAGCAACACTGCAAGGAAAAAAACAAACAAAAAAAAAGTTTAAAAAGACGTAAAATCACGACTGTGGAAGACGTGGGTGGCCGTGAGGTTACATTTACTTTGCTACACTTAGTTTTGAGGAAATTGTGATTTTTAAGAGTAAAAACTTTTGGCAGAAACTATAATCGTGCTTATCACGAGTACAACTTTTTATTTATTTCTTTTATTTATGCGTAAAGTACAATATCTGATCGTATTGTCATGCACATGTTTAGTATCATCTCTATGTTTTTGTTTTGTTTTATGTTTTACTTTTATTAAACTTTTATTCCCATCCCAACACCAAATTTTTTTTATTAAACTGGATTTTCAGTTTGTTACTTTACTACTAATAAGAAATGTATCAAAAAATATAAATACATATTATTCCGAGTCCTCACTGCAAATAAACTTTTACTTTAACCTCAACATTTGTCTGTAATAGTCATTAAAACGTGTCATGTTTTGTGGAAAATATTTGAAATTTTTGCATTTCTTCTCCCCGATAAGTGTGTCTTCTTTCTTTTTCTGAGGTTTTACGGTTTATTAAAAATCTAAACTGGCAAATTATTTTAAGTTTTGTCCATCTGGTTATGTGATTAAATAAAAAAAGGGTAGAAGCAGTTGTGAAAGTGAAGAAAAAATATAAAACTCACCCCAAGCAAACAGCAACGCGCTTTTCATTTTTGAATTTCTGGAAAAGAAAAAGAGTATAGAGTATTACAAAAAATTACAATCAAATTTATGCATTTTTAACCAATTACAACTGAAAAATTTAAATTGACTGTGAATTTTAATAGCATTTTATCAGTCATTTTCTGGCAATATTACTCCTCGACAGTGAACTAAACTCTCAACTCCAAATTTGGAAAAATGTATAAAATTCTTAGATTTTTTTTTAGTCGATTTGTGACTTTACTCTTTCTTTTCACACATGAAGATACACTTAAGAATCACCAAAAATTAAAAACAGTAACAAAATATATCTTAATTCACACAAAATTCATTTCTGTATTAGAAAAGTGAACACATTTTTATATTTTAGACTTAATTTTAATTTGATAACTTTAGAAATACGGTAAATACAGTAAAAATACGACGTACCTGAAATGTGTGTTTTGTAGCTCAGGTCGAACTTCCAGAAAGTGCTGAATTAAAACTGCACGATTGCAAAAACACTTCCTCCTCCCTCTTCTCCGTCTTCTTCTTCTTGTAAAGTTTAAACCAGTGCAGACGCAGCTGTGAATGTGGTTTTGCACCAGTGAAGTTCGTCTCAGAGGAATCAACATAAAACTTAAACTAGAACAGGAAGTATTTTATTAAGGCTGAGGGCTGCTTCAAGGGCCAGTTCAATTAAAAGGGAATATAATTACACGATCAACTTTTAAGTGCATATAAAAGGATTTCATGTTTTTCAAAAGTACTACCTGTGGCAAATAAACACAGGAGAAAAAAAAGAAAATTTCAAAATACAGAAACAATGGAAGGAATAGATTTATCTCACAGTTTAAACCTTCATTTAACAAAATAAAGGTGTTTTCTTCTATTTTTGTGTGTCTAACCATAACTATTATTTGCACTTGAACTAATTATATAAACCATTTGATGTGAGACGATTATTTGTCAAAGTACAAGCACTTTTTGCATTTGAAAGCACAAGCCTATACGAGCATTGCGCAGTGTTGGGAAGGTGACTTTTAAAATGTATTCCCCTACAGATTACAGATTACACACACCAAAATGTAGTTTGTAACAGAATCCATTAAATTACTTAAAAGTGAGTAACATAATCTGAATACTTTGGATTACTTGATATTGTCATGCTTTTTAAAACTACATGAATGTACCAACCACATCCTGCAAATTCATGTTTGTTCTCTTCAAATTGTCTGTTGAGCCCAAGTCTCCATGAACAGGCAGGTGTTTGCTGTAAAGTAGCAAAGACGAGGATCTTAACCTTAAACTTTTTGTTTTATCTGCTAAAAGACTATAAAAAGTCCAGTCTTTCCTTAACCATATTAAAAATATTATTGATAGAGAAATGATTTTTATATGAAATCACTGCAGCCTTAAATTATGTCCAACCCTACTGTCAGGTGTCAGATTGTTTAGACCTGATTTAGACCTGGTTTAGTCCTGGATTTAGTCCTAGTTTATACCTGGTTTAGTCCTGGTTTAGTTCTGGTTTTAGTCCTAGTTTAATCCTGGTTTAGTCCTAGTTTATACCTGGTTTAGTCCTTGTTTTAGTCCTGGTTTAGTCCTGGTTTTAGTCCTGGTTTAGTCCTGGATTTAGTCCTAGTTTAGTCCTGGTTTAGTCCTGGTTTTAGTACTAGTTTAGTCCGGGTTTATACCTGGTTTTAGTCCTAGTTTAGACCTGGTTTAGTCCTGGTTTAGTCCTAGTTTAGTCCTGGTTTAGTCCTGGTTTAATCCTAGTTTATACCTGGTTTAGTCCTTGTTTTAGTCCTAGTTTAGTCCTAGTTTAGACCTGGTTTAGTCCTGGTTTTAGTCCTAGTTTAGTCTTAGTTTAGACCTGGTTTAGTCCTGGTTTTAGTCCTAGTTTAGTCTTAGTTTAGACCTGGTTTAGTCCTGGTTTTAGTCCTAATTTAGACCTGGTTTAGTCCTGGTTTAGTCCTAGTTTTAGTCCTGGTTTAGTCCTGGTTTTAATCCTGGTTTAGTCCTGGTTTTAGTTCTGGTTTTAATCCTGTTTTAGCCCAAAATGTGAAAACGGGAAAATACCGCCTTGTAATCCATTTATTTCAACAAAGTAACTGTAATCCAATTACCACTCACTGAAACAGTAACTGTAACCGAACACAGTTACTCATAATTTGTACTCTGATTACGTAACTCCGGTACATGTAATCTGTTACTCCCCAACACTGGGAGCATTTACACTACACCTCATCATTTTGACAATAAAAACTTTAACTTTCAAGATCCAGTGAGCACTCCTGGCCTCCTGTCTTATTATAAACTTGTTAAAAATACTGACCAGGGGCGGCGCTACCATTAGGCAAAAGTAGGCGACTGCTTAGGGCCCCCAAACCTGGAGGGGCCCCCAACCAGTTGCCCTCAGAACAATTACATTTTCTCTCCATATGACATTAACTGAGAGTAATTTACTTTTAAACAATAATCATAAATAATAATAATAATCATATATAATGGATGTAAACAAAAATTTAACTGTACTAGCAAAAAAATATAAAACTACTTTCAGTTCTGGTTTTCTAGTAAGTGACCAAATTCTCCATAATTCAAATAGAGAAGTGCGTGTCTCAAGAACAAAGGGGAAAAACAGACAATAAATAGAAAATTAGAAAAACAAAACAGAAATACAGCGCATTACAGTGAGGGCCCTAAACTCAAGTTCACCTAGGGCCCCCAAACTGCAAACTCCGCCACTGATACTAACAAAATAACAGCAAATAGCAATAGAAAATGGAAATACTGTAGCTTGCATCAGCACGCTTTAGATTTAAATTAAACCTCTTGGACGATTATGAAGAGCCTGTTAAACTGTGACACTTACAATAAATGAACACAGGCTAAAAAGTGTTGCCAAAAATAGCGATACACACTCATAAGTTTCTAGGGCAGGATGAATGGCAGCAGTCTACGACATCTCACTTCTTCCTACTCCTTTTCAGTGTTCGGAAGTTCAAGCGCTATTGTTAGAGTGTGTTACGTCCATTTACAGAAACAGTCTATGATTTATGGTTAAAACATGATACTGATTTTGAAAGTGGCACTTATTAATGTGGTGCCATTATTAACGGCTATTACTTCTTTAGCTACAGGGTTTTTCACTGACAAAATTTTAAAACTTTCTCATGACTTTTTCATGAACTCAAGTGAATTTTCCATGACTTAACGGTACCTACATGTGTAGAATCGATCATACTTTTAGGGCTGAATATGAAATGTTAACTGTCGAATGAGGTTCATTTGGTCTTCTAATAATTTATGTTATTAGGTTCTTTTTTCAGACCAAGAGTTTGTTTTCATACCTGACAGTTTCGACTGCTCACTGTGGTCTTCCTCAGAGTCACGTGATGTTGCTGTGACGTGTCCGTTCAACTGATTTATACAGGTTTTAGCGCTGTCTTCCTACTGGTGGAGGCAGGACGACAGCGCCATCTGCAGTCTGACTTCCTCAGGACAGTATCCCAGGTGTGAGAGTAAAAAAAGCCCCCTCATCCCGGTTTATCGTCCTGTGAACACGTTTCTGTATTTCGAGGAAGAGCACAAGTGAGCGCTCGAAACTGTCATGTATGAAAACAAACTTTTGGTCTGAAAAGAACCTTGATATTTGATATATGAACTTGAAATATTAACCCTTTCCACTCACCTTATGGTTTGTTATTATAGTTTTGTAACACTCAAAAAATGCTGTCAGTGCATTTATTGTTGTCTCTTTTAAATAAAAGGCGCAGACGTTCAGAAATAATCATAATAGTCTAATGCAGGGGTGTCCAAATTTTTTTCATCAAGGGCCACAAATCTAAACACAAACGAAGCAGAGAGCCGATCGAGGGCCGTAGACTGGAGCGCAATACAGTGAATAATTGAAATATGTGCAGGTTTAACACATTAGAATGAGCCAGCAGTTTTTATTCATGCTAAGATTCTTAAAACCACACACTAAATATTAAATACCAGCTCTAGCGAGGTAGATTTTCAAAACAAGGTTGCAGTAAAAAGTTCATTTTTAATTGATGCAAAGTAATTTGGGCCAATTCACCTGGAAACCTGAGGGCCAAGAAAAATTTGTCTGAGGGACGCATTTGGCCCACAGGCCATAGTTTGGACATGCCTGGTCTAATGTTAACTTAACAGAACACTGTAGCTGATTGAAAGAGATACTAAATTCCATGACTTTTCCAAAACTTTCATTGAATTGACAAAATTCCATGACTTTCCCAGGCCTGGAAAATTACATTTTCAATTTCCATGACTTTTCTAGGATTTCCATGACCTTGGGAAGCCTGTATTTAGCTTTTATTTATTTTTTAATATTGGTTTATGGTTAAATATATCTTTATTTTATTTTTCTGGCTTTTATGTTGTTGTACAGCAGTTTGGAAACCGCTTTAGTTAGAACAAAAAAAATAATAAAGTGGATTTTCATTTAAAAATGACTTGAAACAAAATGGTCAAAATTCGCGTTTTATTTGCCACAGCAGTAACAAAGGTTTTATTTGGAAAAAATCAAACCAACAGCGAGATATCACCTTTACTTTAGCGTGTAAAAAAAGCAACTGATTTGGTAGTGGTCTTATTAACACGTTCTTAACACGCTGCATATTATGAACTATTGAGTCTGAGTCAAAGTTGGAGCCTTTTCAGACCGTAACTTTGTCGTTCTTGGAAGCAGTAAAGAGGAGTGTGTGCCTATTGGAGCAAACAACAAAGTTTCTATTTAAAACATTTTTGAAAAACATAGGGCAGTGAACACCAAAATGATATCCCCAATTTGGATTACAGATGTAGTAGCACACATGTGGTGAAAGCTTCGATGTATGTACAGTCGATTGGATGTCTGACACTAAAAAAGCATGGTGCGGTGCGTTGGTACAGGTCCTAGTTTATTCGGCCACTCGTCGATAGAAGTAGAGGTATCCCAGGTCTTTAGGAGGCTTCTCAGAGGCACAGACCTTCTGATCGTTAAAGATGACCCACCTGAGGAGAAACGAGAAGAGGGAAATCAAACTAAATATGAATAATAAACAATCAACATGCATGTAAGTAAGTAAGTAAGTCTTTATTTATATAGCGCTTTCACAGACATTTTCTGTCCCCAAAGACGCTTTTTACAGCATTATTCAGCATTATTCATTCATTCATACAGCATTATTCAATCACTCTATACCAGGGGTGGGCAAACTACGGCCCGGGGGCCGTATGCGGCCCTTTAAACCTTTCAATCCAGCCCGCCAAACTGGAATAAATTACAATAATAAACTTTGTTGATGTTTTATTTTTCCTGCATTTCCGACGTTTCCCAGTAGATGGCGCACTATATATACATTGAGGTGCGGCGTATTATGTTGGCCGCAAGGCTTTTTGGGAAAGTGTTCTTACAGGAGTTATTCAGACCATGAGTGAAATAGTGGTGTTCAAGATATAAGGCTTTAATTTGGTGAAGTTTAAACATGAATAACTCATAGACTCTTGATGAGATTCTCAATGCAAAGAAAATCACAGAGTCTGATTGAGGGCAATTGCAGGTGTGTGAGTGCCTAACTGATGTGGGAGGTCAGCTCACTGTACACATAGATCTGTGGTGTGTAGAGGAACAGGTCTATACACTTATATGTGTTCTGTATCTTTCAATTCAAAATTGTAGTGCATTTCCTATGACCTACATAAATTATGAATGTAATGAAACTGAGCTCTTAACACGTCATGTCCTGCCTTCTGTCCGGCCCTTCAGTCTAATTTTAGGACCCTATGTGGCCCGCGAGCCAAAAAGTTTGCCCACCCCTGCTCTATACCCTGGTGATGGTAAGCATGTAAACAAGCCTGACATAATTCCTCCTGAATAAAAGACGTTGGTAAATGGAGGCATATGTGGAGAATAGTGCCCTCTGTTGGGCATTACATCCAAATTCACTTTATTTATGCAGCACATTTTTTACAAACACAGCAGTTTCCGAATAAAATGAAGACAACAAAAAGGTAAATTGTTAAAAATTTGATCATACCTGTCCTAAAAAAATAAAACCAGTAAAAAAATCTAATAAAAAATTATAAAATAGCAATAAATAATTAAAATAAACAAAATAACAGGGTCTTAAAAGTCTTAAAAAGGTCTTAAATATCATGTTTCTAAATTAAGGCCTTAAAAAGTCTTAAAATATATCGTCCAGATCTTATTTTTTTCATAAAGATCTTAAATTTCATTAGCTGGGCTGCAGTGCAATCATAAATGGAGGGAGGAAAAAAAAAAAAACAACATAAAATCACAAGACGGGAATGAACTTCTAATTTGGAGTATGTGGAAAGTAGCTAGTTTGTCTTGTTAGAATGTTTTAAATGATTTTTTGGCCATTTTACAAGCAACACATACTTCTATAAATGAGTTCTGAATGAGATTTTATAATGAAAGTATTTTTTGTTATTTACAGCAGTGAGTAATGGTCATTATTAGAATTGGATCTGGTGTTTGTCGCTCGCATAATGGATGCGACGTTGGTCTTAATTTTCATTTAAGTGGTCTTAAAAAGGTCTTGAAAAAGTCTTAAATTTGGGGTAGTCAAACCTGGGGATACCCTGAATAAATAAAAGACATAAATAAAAAACACATAAATAAAAGAGGACATGTTAAAACACACACAAAAAAACTGACTTAATAGATACATTTTTGGATTCTGCATTCTGTAACAAAATATATCTGTTTCTCATATCTTTTGTTAATTCGTTTATACAATTAAAAGAAATGCACAAAATTTGGGACCATTTCTCAGTTTTTAAACCTTCTTCCATATTGTTAGATCACAGACTAAATGTAGTGTATGATTAGGGGTGTGCAAAAATATCAAAATATCATTATATCGTATGGTTTAATGTGATGATACTGTATCGATATCGTGGGCTGCTGTTTTTTTGGTATATTTTACAAAATATTACAGAATTATTTGGTTACAGAGCTACAGTTTCGTGGCTTGTTTAGAGGAAAGAAACTCATTTATGTGACACATTTGACATTTTCACTGTTTTGATGATTAAAATGTTTGTGTTTCATATGAACTTTCCACAAGAATTGGTTTAACAAAGACTGTTAGTATCGAATCGTTTTGAAATATATTGTATCGAGATATGTATCGTATCGTGGCCTACGTATCGAGGTATGTATCGTATCGGCAAATTCTAAACGATACCCAGCCCTATGTATGATCTATGAGTATATTCAGCTGATGGATTTATTTATATTGTGTTTAGGAGTTGGACTTACTGTTGGTCTTTCTTGATATGGCAAACGTAATGTCCACACATAGTGCTCGTCCCCATGTGACTGATGAACGCAAACAGCTCATACTCTGAAAAACAGTGAAGAACATCCCATTAAACTCACACTAAATCTCTTTCTATAATTATCTCCATCACAGAATCGTCAGCGTTCACTCACTTCCTGGTCCGTCTCTCACTCGGGGCCCAGGCGGTGGCTCTCTGGCGCCCTCGCTCTCTGCGGCGGAGCGTCCCTCAGACACGTCCATCGACTCCAGATCGTCCACGTGAGAGAAGATCCAGTCCACAGCCCGGTCCAGGATGTTACTCTGACACACAGAGGGAAGAGAAGAGGGTTTGAGAAGTCTAAGGCATAACGAGTCTGTAGGCAATTCAAGGATTTTTGATGCATTTCAGGCTTGACACTGTCCTTTGATAACATTATATGAAAATGTATAAATAAGGGAAGGGAATAAATCCTTCAAATTAGCAAGAACATGCCTCATATTGTGGTCCGTATAGAATATTTTAGTTTTATGTTTAAGGCTGAATTATAGTTCTACATCGACTCAGTGCACTCCGTCACCTTGTCACATCATTCTTGGTTTATGGATCTGCATCGAGGTCTATGCACCGCCAAGTAATTCACTGACAACATCAGAAGGCTAGGACTGTGTTTGTTGCGTTCGTGTTCACAAAATGAAGAGGGAAAGCGCAGTACAGGAAATATATGTAGAGCGATGGTACAGAGGACCAATCTCAGCCCTTATCGTCTGCGACGGTTCAACACGTAGTTACAAAATTTCACATCGGTGCACATCGGGTGACTCAGACGCTCTGCGGACGGGGTCAAGGCGTTGCAGATGATATAACACGACTACAAATTGGGCTTTAGAGTTTGTTTGCAGCAGAGTCCTGCTCCGGACCAGGTCTAAACCAGGTCTAATCTTGGGAGAACCCCACGGAGCGCTACACCGGTCCTTTCATCTGCTGTCACCCAACAGTCTACATGGGCGCACCTAGCCGACCCCGACAGTGGGTCCTGGTTCAGTCCTGGTTCAGTCCTGGTTCAGTCCTGGTTCAGTCCTGGTTCAGTCCTGGTTCAGTCCTGGTTCGGTCCGTGGTGTGTGCGGCACAAAAGTCCGGCATCTCGATCAATGTTTCTTCTGCTCAGTAAATAAAGCCTGTGAAGTGATGAGAGTCGAGTCGCATCTGAATTTATATTCGTACAGAAGAAAGTGAAATCGTTTCATTTCATTTCATGATTGTAATTCTTGAAGTCGTAACTTTTCAGTTTGTATTTTGACGGCTACTTCATTTAGAAAGCTTTTAATCTGTGTGTGATTTATCATGGGCACGAGCAGGTAACAGGTGGAATGTTAACGGGGCAGCTCGGGTGTGGGTTTAACTTTGATATAATTACGGGTTAATGGGTGGGTGTGGTACTTTACTGCGGGGCTGTACTACGGTGCTGGACCCGTGCAGGACTCTGGTTTGCAATGTTCCACAGTATTATTAAACATGTATATATCTTCCAACTTTTTACTCCGAGCAGTGAAGAAAATAGATAATTATATTTAATGCCATACTGTGGAACATTCCACTCAAAACAATGACTTGTCCATGGACAAAAAAAGGGCAAAAGCTCCAGCAGAAGAGTTGCCTGCGCCTTTAAAGTGCTTAACCAAACAGAATTTAATAAACACGGATTAAATGTAACACAAAGAGTGGCTTGTTACCGTGGCTCTAAGTGCTTTGGTTGCTTGGTCTCGGCTGAAGCCCATGGAGATGATGGTGGCCAGGTGCTCCTCACATAGAGACTCTGTTGGAGTGTTTCCTGCTCCAGAACTGCCCGGGAGAACCAGGGGAGAGGCAAAGTCTGTGAGAAAGAGGAGAAAACATTAAATGATATCACCATTAATGCTTCTCTGAGATATGTACCGTATTTTTCAGACTATAAGTCGCATTTTTTTTCATGGTTTGGACTGTCCTGTGACTTATACTCCAGTGCGAATTATATATTAAAATTTTCAGACTGACAGCCGTGAGAGGCTCTAGTCTTGTGTGTTAGTATCTAGTACTACTATTACTCCTGTACCACTGTCACTTCACTCTACCGTGCATGTCTCCTGTAGAAAAAGCCTCTGTCTCGTTGCAAATAGTGAAATATTCAGCTAAAAACGGCTGAAAGAAAGTTTGGAGTGAGCGACAAACTTGTGAGGGACTGGCGGAAAGCGGAATGGACAACACAGCTTCACGGCAACCGGGTGTGTGTGCCATGCAGATTTCCTGGAAGTCACTGGATGGATCGACAAAGTCTGAACTTCAATGACAATCGAAACCATCCTGTCGGGATTCAGAAAGGCCGGAATAATTCTATCTGAAACAGATGTCGAGTCTGACGACAGCTACACAGAAGAGGAAGCGGCGCTGTTTACCTCATGGATCTATGGTTTATCTCCAGAGGTCGCATAGAAGTGACACAGAGGATGAAGAATTCAATGGATCTACTGATTTGGAGTGAGATCCTGAGTTTGGTAAACTTATGTTGTATGTTTGTACTTATGTTTATGCTATAATTATCTGAATCACTCTTAATATGTTACTTTTACATATTAACGCCTATTCAGCCTTTTGTTTTCTGATCTGTTGTTATTACTAGAATAACAAGATGAAATGTCGGTTCCTGGTCTCTGATTTTACAAAATACATTTCCCCAAAAAGTGTGTCTTATATGTTTTTTTCTTCTTCATTGCCCATTTTTTGGCTGGTACAACTTATACTCCGGAGCGACTTAAAAATACAGTAGTTAAAATAGGCCAATATAATGTTCAAAACTAGAACCAAAACGATTCTAAAGGCAAATTTAATTCAAATTTTTATTATTCATTACAGCTGCCTTCACATAATTTCTGTTTAATTGGGCAACAAAATATTCTGTCGTCTGAAACCCAGCAGTATAGTCTCAGTAGAAATGAGTAGAAACCATTGCTTTAAAACTCCAGACATGGAGACAGTTAAACTCTTCCTCACCGGGGTCGTCCATGTGAGTCATGACCCAGTTCATGGCGGCGTCAATGCCCGAGTTCCCGGTGTAGTAAACAGCTTTCCTGCACGCCTCCAGAGGGAAGCCCATCTCACACAGCTGAGACACGGTGGAGTCATCCAGGACCGGAGCTGAGAGACAAACAACAGAATCACTCCAACGTCTGGTGCAGCAAAATGTGCATCGTCCATCAGCTAAGAGCCAAACTCATGCAGAGGACTCCAGAGATTTAAACCCCCAAATGCTAAATCTACAAAAACAAAAGGCAACCAAAGAAGGAGGAAAACAGAAAAGTGGGAAAAAGCAGAGCAGTAGGAGTATTCGCGCCGGCTAAAGCTAAAGCCTCCCAGCGTCTGTAGTGATTGTGACAGGGAGAAAGGACAGACTGACACAGCAGAGGGGAGTAGAGCGAGTCGTCCTCCTCGGTGCCATAGGAGCCCAGGATACCTTTGACCTCCACATCGGGCGTCATGAGAGGGGGAGGGGCCACCTCAGGGAGCAGCTCCTCTCCGGGCAGCTGACCGGTGGCTCTCAGCGCGCTTAAGTCCAGTGTGTCCGGGACGTCAATGCTCACATCTGGAGAAAAGATTTTAAAAGGTTATTACCGTATCTGCAATTTCTACAATGTTGTGCTTCAAACTACTGGATTTTTCGGACTATAAGGTGCACCAGATTATAAAGCGCACTGTCGATTTATGAGAAAATTAAAAGATTTTAAGTGTGCCTTATAGTCCAAAAAATATGGTATGTTTGAGGCACTATTTTAGAAATATTCAAACTGAAAAATGATCAAACACTAAAGCTAATTACTCCATAAAACTTCCATGTTAAAAAGGGCACAAAGTAACTGGAGATGTTACTGTTTTGCCAAGAATGTTCCACAGTAAAGCATTAAACATATTTTTCTCCTTAGATATACAATTCCAAATAATGATTTTAGTTTTCTATACCCTTGCAGACAAGCAAGCACAAGGGTATTTTGTGTAATAAAAATAAGTTTAATGTCGACCTTCCACCAGGAAAGTTACATGGTGAATCTTTAAAGAATTGGGGGAAAAAAAAGACCAAAGTTTTTAGCACTGTTCAATTCTGGTGATAAAGACATTTAAATGTGGGAGTTGTTTGTTTCATGTGGATTAAGGGTGTGCAAAAATATCAAAATATCGTTATATCTTATCGTTTAATGTGATGATACAGTATCAATATCGTGGGCTGCTTTATCGATATATCACCAAGAGTATTTTGTGGTATATTTTACTAAATTATTTTGTTACATCGCTAGAGTTTAGTTGTTTGTTTAGAGGAAGGAAACCAGGATTAAACCCAGGACTAAACCAGAACTAAACCAGGATTAAACTAAACCAGGACTAAACCCAGGACTAAAACTAAACCAGACTAAACCAGAACTAAACCAGGATTAAAACAGGACTAAACCAGGACTACACCAGGACTAAACCAGAACTAAACCAGGATTAAAACAGGTCTAAAACCAGGACTAAGTCATGATTAAGCCAGGTCTAAAACCAGGTCTAAAACCAGGTCTAAAACCAGTACTAAACCAGAACTAAAACCAGGTCTAAAACTAGGTCTAAAACCAGGACTAAACCCAGGTCTAAACCAGGTGTAAAACAGGTCTAAAACAGGACTAAACCAGAACTAAAACCAGGACTAAATCTGGACTAAACCAGGAGTAAACCAGGTCTAAACCAGGTCTAAGACAGGACTAAGAAGGGACTAAGCCAGTTTAGTTGTTTGTTTAGTGGAAGGAAACTTGTTTATGCAACACATTTCCGCTGTTTTGATGATTAAAATGTTTGTGTGTCTTGTGCAACTTTGCACAAGACGTGATTTAACAAAGACTTCAGTATCACAGCCACGATTTAGCCTTTATTTTTTATTGAACCGTATCAAATCGATTTGAAATATAATATATACCAAATCGAAATCTCACTGTATCGAGGTATGTACCGTATCGGCAAATTCTTAATGATACCCAGCCCTAATGTGCCCAATTTAATAATAATTTAGCTCAATTATGACAGACTTTTTACATTTTTTTTAACCAAACCACCACAACACTTCATTAAGAAACAGAAAATGTGTTAAGTATCAGACTTAAAGCAGATTTTTACTCACCTAGTTTTTTGGGGACCCAGTCAAGGCCAAATGTAAACTTTTTAATCTGGATAACAAGGTAATCGGGGAAAGACGCAAACCGCATCGTTCTGGTAATGAAATCAAAAAGTTTAGATTGTAATAAAGTATTTTTCATTCACATTTTTAAGTATTTAGTCCTGCGTCTTACTTGGTGGCGGTAGTCTTGGCCTGCACGGCTGAGCTCCAGAAGTCGGTGAGCACCTCTGGCTCCGTGAGGGCCGCCATGCACGAGGTGAAGGGAATCTGAGCCCGAACCATGGGCGATGTGTCCCCCAGTTCACGGCGACGCTCGGCCTCCTGGAGCTCCTCTGTGCACACAAGAAAAAAAGTTACGAAATTAGCTGTTTAGTAGATTAATCATTCGACCAATAATTTGATTGGGCTTATAAAAGGATTTACAGGGACCACAGCAGCGGAGGAAGAATGGAGTGAGTCAGTTCGACATTAGGGAATGAATTGTGGCTTTGTTCTGCCTTTCAGTACAACTAAGCAATTTAGCCGTACTTCTCTTTGTCTTGTAGATATGGATTAGATCATAAGAGTTTCGAGAGCTTCTGCCAATTCCATTCACCATTTTAGTCAGCTAATCGATGCACAAGGAAAGTCTTAAGTCGACTAAGATTTTATTTTGTTTATTATGGTCTTAAAGGGAATAAAAATCAAGTTCAAGGCACATTTCGTTGTTTAAAGGGATAAACTGTGGGCATGCACAGAGCACGGTCATGACAGGTTGTAGATTGCAGGGTTCCCACGCTTTTTCCACTGGCAAAACTTCAAAACGTTTCCATGATTTTTTCATGGCCTAAAGTGAATTTTCCATGACTTTACAGCACCCATGTGTAGAATTGATCAGACCTTTAGGGTTAAATATGAAATGTTAACCCTTTCCACTCACCTTATGGTTTGATATTATAGATTTTTAACATTCAATATACTGTAAGTGCATTTATTGTCGTTTCTTTTAAACAAAAGGCGCATACGTTCAGAAATAATAATAATAATAAAAGCCGAATGATAACTTAACAGAGCGCTGTAGTTGCGTGAAAGAGATACAAAAATACCATGACTTTTCCAAACCTGAAAAAAAACCCTGAGATTGCCATGAACATTAATAATCAGGCCCTGGTTAAGTCTTAGAAATTAACAAAAATGCTGATGGACGGGAAATATTTTTATCTGCTTGTGACAGTCAGATATGTAAGGGGGAAGTGGTTCGGTGGTTAGTGTGTTTTTTCCACCATCCATGTACACACTGTTCACACACTTCACACACCTCACCACTGCTGAAGCTCAATGGTGTAAGCAAAAGAGGGAATGGAAATAACACTTTGGGCCTAATCTTGCCCCCGATCCTAGTGCTAGAGTTAAGGAGTGGGCGTGTCCAGGTGGGGCTGTACTTCGCTGCTGGAGGCGGGAGTGGGACGGTAAAAGTACAAATACGGTGACGGCATCTGAACCAAACTCTGACCGCTGTGGCATTTAAAATCACTGCCAGTGTGGATGATGTCTGCAATCTCTGTCTCATTACCAGACAGCAAATGGGCATGGAAAAAATTATATATGTGTACAATAAAACAGCTCCGGAGCCCCACGATGCAAGTATGAACCAGTAGAGGCACCAGGAATATAGAATTTTGGACAGGCTGTGACAGAACTGGCTGCATTTGTGTTTTGAATTCTCCGTGCGCATGTGTGCAACTCTCTTGCACGCGCACCGCTGTATGCCTGTGCACACGCGCACACATCCACCTTTTACAGTTTTCTCTGTGTTCGATTTCCTCCCATTACACAGCAGACCAGTGTCTATCCCATCTATCCCAGCAGTCGGCTCCCGCACTTCTCACCTGAGGTACAAGTGTAAACCGCTGCTACCGCTGACCGCTCACATATTCTGTCTCACGAGTGTCCACTGCATTTGGTCCAGCACAGGTGGATGTCTCGCGGATTATGAAATATGTTTACTGTCATATCATGTTTCTGATGTTACTGCTTTGTGCACAGACATTAACACACGAGGAGGCTGATTACTCGACCTGCATTTGCCCCACACAAGTGACTGATATGCACCATTAGCGCACAGAGCAGGAGGAGCAGGTCTGTACATTGCTCATGTGCATTATTCGTTTCTTGAGCCGCTGTACAAAACTCTACTGACCACTGCTGCCAAGAGAGAAATCTGACTTTGCAGCATTAGGACCACAGACAGAGTAAAAAAACACACTTTAGGACAGAGCTGTAAACGGCCTCATGTGAACAACAGCTTCCAGATCAAACTATAGAGCAGAGTCGATACAGGGAGCGGGCGAGGGGCTGTGCTCTGCTGCGGGAGGGCATCTGGACAGAGCATGAACATGTTATGAATGTTAAGCATTTATCATTCTAATATATTTCAAAATGAAAGAAGTTTTGAGCATGTTACACGTTGTTTTTCAGTGGACTAGTTTGATATTTATTTTTACGATTCTGGTGATTCGCTGAACCACGCCCTCAGTCTGCTCCACTCCCCCTGATATTCAAACACGGCACACTGACTGTTTATAACTCCACGCCCCACACTTGCACTAGTGCTGAAATCAGTGGCAAGATCAGGCCCTTTATGTCCCATCCACATTTCTGATCTATTGCAAAAGTTTTATCAAATACTTCATGGACTTTCATTCTGGTCCGTATCACGCGTCCCCATGTTTATAACAGAGATCCGTTACCTGTGTTGGTGGCTTGATCCATCGGGACCGGCAGCTGTACGATGTAGTCAACGCGCTGTGTGTACTTTGCTTTTTGAGACTGTTCACACACGATTTTCTCCTCCACCAGAAACCTGAAGGCCTCTGACGGGTTTGTCCCCGAGCGGCAGTTTCTCTGAAAATACATGGTTAATTCATCGACAGTGTAGTGTAGAAAATTGGATTAGCAAAATGAGCCTCGTAACAACTAACTGCAATTGCTCTATTTTATTCACACTGCCAACAAACCAAATAATCCCTGAATAAACTAACAAAGTTTTTGGTAATACTTTTGGTCTTTTTCTTTTTTCTCAAATTTTTAACAAAGTTTGAACAGAAAATTAAGGCATTTATATTTTTGTTGTGTAAAAAATATAACACCAAATATCACCGTAACATAATTATTACTATTATATTAAAAGTATGTGTTTACATTTATATTCTGCAGCTCTAACCAAAGTCAAAACTTTATTTTTTGAGCCGCACGTGTGTACAAACAATAAACTAAACTTAACTCATTAAAGTATCAAGGAATCATTTAGAGCAGAGGTCCCCAAACCCTGAGTCATTTGGTACCGAACCCCCCCTCTAAAGTAGAACTAAAACTTGAACTAAAACCAGGACTAAACCAGAACTAAAACAGGACTAAAACCAGTACTAAACCAGATCTAAACCAGAAATAAAACCAGGTCTAAACCCAGGACTAAACCCAAATTTAAACTCAGGACTAAACCAGAAATAAAACCAGGTCTAAACCAGAAATAAAACCAGGTCTAAACCAGAAATAAAACCAGTACTAAACCAGAAATAAAACCAGTACTAAACCAGAAATAAAACCAGTACTAAACCAGAAATAAAACCAGTACTAAACCAGAAATAAAACCAGTACTAAACCAGGACAAACCCAGGACTAAACCCAGGACTAAACCAGACTAAACCCAGAACTAAACCAGGACTAAACCCAGGACTAAACCCAGGACTAAACCCAGGACTAAACCCAGAACTAAACCAGAAACCAGAACTAAACCAGGTCTAAAACAAGGACTAAACCAAGTCTAAACCAGACATAAAACCAGTACTAAACCAGAAATAAAACCAGTACTAAACCAGGTCTACACCAGGTCTAAATCCAGGACTAAACCCGGACTAAACCCAAATTTAAACCCAGGATTAAACCTGGACTAAATCAGGACTAAACCAGGACTAAACAAGGACTAAACCATGCCGCGTCTCCTCCTGCCTCCTTCTATACGCCTCCAGTAAGTGACAAATATTGTCCCTAAGAGCAGCGCCACATTGTCAAACATAAAACTAGTTTGTGGTGCAAAAAAGTTTGGGGACCTCTGACTTAGAGCCGTGATGTGTGTCAGCTCACCTCCACCATGTTTATGAAGTGCAATAAAAACTCCTGAGCGTCCTGTTGTCGATTGGTGGAAAACTCAGGGTGGCCCCGTCCCACAAGTGCTTTGAACATTCGCGGTGCTATTCCTATTTGGTCTCCCTAAGAACACAAAAACATAAAGACAACATCTGAAACTTCAGTCCATAAATCAGTAGAGAAATAAACTACAGACGGAGCGCTGTTCTGTGACTCTTACCCTGGGTTCAGACGCACCGTTTTCATCCCCAGGGTCTGGTGCTGGTTTGGAGTATTCTCCTGATAAAAGGCCGTAGCCCAGTTTGGCTCTGCAGAAACAAACGGCACAAAGAGTAAAAATATATTCGAGGTAATAACAAGGCAAAGATGTAAACATAAGTAGGGCAGTTTTAGCTAAAATCTCCATTTAGAACAGAATATATCTAGTGCAGTATAAATAAAACCAGCACCATCAGATTAAACATTTGTTGGGATCACAGACGTAACATTTTGATCTTAAAATTCTTAAAGGTATTTTAAATGAATTACAAACAGCGCTGTACTTACACTTGAGTTTTGAAGTCCTGGCTTGGATCACTTGGAGCGTCATCAATGATTTTGTCAATGTTTGACACATACCTGGAAATTTAAATTAGTATGAAATAGTTGCACATCAATGTATTTAACACATTAATTGATGATGTATTAGCCGGTCTTTCTACATGTTTTACTGTTTAGTCAAGAGTTTAGTCCTAGTTTAGTCAAAGGCTGGATTTATTTAGATAGAATATTCTCTGCAAAGAACAAAATGGCCAGTATTTAACCCTTAAAAATGTTTTACCGTATTTTACAGGCCATTAGGTGCTCCGGATTATAAGGCGCGCTGTCATTAAATGGTCTATTTTCAAACTTTTTTCACAAATAAACCGCACTAGACTTTAAACGAAACACAACAGTTGGATGGGTCAGTGGGACTTTGTTTGTCGCGTTCACGGTGACTCTGGGCTTTGTTCAGTTGTGGCGTGTAGGGAGGGTGCTGTCTGGGGACCGCTGGATTGTCGGCGTGTTCGCAGTGACTCAGTTGTTCAGTTGTGTCTAGAAGTGGCACATTGCGCTCGCTTTTTCGGTTCGTTCCTCCGTTCCGTTCCTCGTGGGCGTGGAGTGATGAGTGTGTCTGTGGGTGTTTTTCGCTGCACGGTCGCTGTCTGCTCCGTGTGTGTTTTCGTGCGCTGCGGGTGGTGTGGCTTTGTAGTTTACTGAAGTCGTACTGGGACACCCGAGTGGATTCGTGTATCGGGAGCTCTGGATTGTGGGGCGTGCGGTCGTTTTTTGATGGGGTTGGATGCTTAAGAGCGCGCCCTATAACCCGGAAAATACGGTACTTTCATTATACAGGATCTCTTTCTGCATGTTTTACAATTCATACTCTGTTAAATTATATTTTGTATGTAAAATATTACAGGTATAACCCTATTTGACTACCCCAAATTTAAGACCTTTTAAAGACATTTTTAAAACCACTTAAATGAAAATTAAGACCAACATCGCACCCGTAATGCCGGCAAAAAACACCAGCTCTAATTCTAATAATGACCAACCAATTACCAGTACTTTATCTAGAATCTAAGAGCCTCTGTGGATTAAACCTACACTTTCCCATGATCCATCCAACGTCTTCCTCCACTCTACTGACTGTTTACTTATTGCTGCCGGTGCCAGAAACCAAAGTATTGTTTGCACATACTCACAATTAGACGTTCGTTCATGTTACGTGATTTCAAGTTTTGTTTGTTTTTTCCTCCATTTAACATTGCACTGCTTTGTAAAAATAAAAATAAGACTTGGACAACATAATCTAAAACTTTTTAAGGCTTTCATTTAGGAGCATGAAATTTAAGACCTTTTTAAGACTTTGAAGACCCCGCGGCTGCCCTGTAATAACTTACGGTAATTAATATTAAAGCAATTTCTTGTAAGTGGACTAATCTCCATTATCTCCCTTATCAGCCTTAAAAACAACCTTAAGATTAAAAAAGGTTGTTGGTAGAGCTTATCCATTAAACTAATATTATATCATTGTATTGAAAGTACATGATTGTAATAGTAATTTCAGTAATCCAATAATGTCAGATGATTAAAAGTCCTATATTACATAAAATTTATTCTTGTGAGCTTTAATTATCATGCTGTCAACTCATCAAAAACAGACCTGGAGTTGTGTTTTGTTTCATTCACACATGTTTGAGTAACACTTTATTATTAATCTGTTAACATCTCCAAAGTTTAGTATGCTGAGTTCTACCTTGTGATGTCACGAAGAGCTATTAAAAGTAACTACATCTTGAAGTAACAGCTACATTTTACCTTTTTTCAGTAGAGATTGGCAATTCCAAGGCTGAAATTATACAAATCTTTCTAGTAAAAGTGTATGTGAATGAAAAACAACTCCGGCTATGTTTTTAATGAAGAAACAGCATTATAAGATCAGAAAACAGTGTAATATGGGCCCTTTAAAACACTCACTTCTCCTGGAAATCTGGCACGGTGAAGAGCACTTGCATGACGGAGTTGAGGTAGCAGCTGTTGCCAAGGTTCTTCATCCCCGTGAGCCCAGGACCGAACAGCGGCCTCAGGGTGGTACCCGACTCCTGGATCACCTCCCACTCGCCCACGCGCTGGTTCACTGCTATCTCCAGCTCCGTCATCGTCCGCTCAGTCTGCCAGAAGAGGAGAGAAGTTTCAAGTTTAGATTCAAGTTTGAGCCAAGTTCATTTATATAACACATAACAGAAAAAGTTGATTAATGTAAAACGTTCAACAAGGCTTTTATACCAAAGTTTTACTACATTTTATTTCTGGTGGCAGGTGTTTGTCTCCACTGAGATTTTATTTTATGTTATAGTTGACATTTATTCAATCAGTGGAAATGTTTGAGAACCAATTTTCAAACATGACCCGGCTATGTTGATAATTTGAAGCCACACTTTCGTAACATTTCAGCTACATGAGGTCTATGAGTCCACTAACACCAAGGACACGTGCTTTTCAAGATAATTTAATACAGGGTGAAACTAATTGAACATTTTTGGGAAATTAGAAAAGACAAGTTGAGCATCACTCTCCATCCAACATCCAGTCTCTGAAAGAGGTCATTGTTGAAGAATGGAAAAACATTGATGTTACCAAATGTTGTTCATTCAAGACTTGAAGTGGTAATTAAAAATAATAGAGGCCATATAAAAGTACTAGATGTAGTAGTTTTTGTTATACTCATTTTTGCACCACCCTAATTTGTAGGGATGTAACAGTAACTGAAATATCGTGATATTTTATAGCCAAAATTCTCACAATAATATCGTGGGCTGTCACAATATATAAAATTTCAAGTTCCTTTGCTTAAATGCATGGTTTTATAGTAGTAACAGCTTATAAACATCAGGAACTACATATCCCATGATTCATTTCAGTGCAGACAACAGGAAGAAATATGTTTTTTACTTATGACAGTAATAATTCACACCAAAAATATTGTCAAGGTATTTTAAAAGCAAAAAAGTGTTCTCTCTACAATTATATAAGCCTCTTCAAAATACCGCAATAAATATCGTACCGTGAGATACATATAGTGATAATACCGTACCGAGCGATTTGGATATTGTTACATCCCTACTAAATAAAACTGAAAATTATGTAATCTAAATTATATTTTTAACCTTAGTTTTTCTGTCCTAAATTCAACAGATACTGCATTAAACTTAGTCTGTGCACATTTTGCAAATAATTTTTGTGTTCATTGACATATTCATTTAAGATGAGCACTGTAGAAGTTTTTTTTTTTTTTTTTAAATCTATTGGCTGAAATGTTACGCAATAGGGCTGTCAAGTAATATGTATTTTAATATATTTACTAATTACAGAGACTAGTACACGAACAAAAAAAAAAAAACAAAAACGCAACGTACCTTTTCCATGGTCATCATGTCGATGCCAAAATGAGAAAGGTGCTCTGCCAACTTTGAATCCAAAACCATGTCGTCCTCATCGTATGAATAGACGTCTAAACATAACAGAGTAAAAGAGAAGTTAATATAGAGTCATTTATTTGCATCTAGTACTTAAAATAATAACATTGTATTAGTCTGGCTGCCTTTACGATGGTTTGGGTCTGGTTTGATACTGATTTAGTCCAGATGTAGACATTGTTTAGTCCTGGTTTAGTCCTAGTTTAGTCCTGATGTAATCTTTAGTCCTGTTCTAGGTTTAGTCCTGGTTTACTCCGGGTTTTCTCCTAGTAAATTCCCATTTTTTCATGTAATGTGTGAATTTATGCAGTTCTTTTGTAGACCTGTACCTGCTCCGTCGGGTGTGATGGTGCCCAGTTTGACAGCCAGTGGGTATCCGGTCTCTTTAAAGTGGAGCAGGGCGTGGTTATTTCCTCCTGAGCCATCGAAATACCTGCGCCCACAAAGCACTTTCCCGTCCGTGAGGTTCATCCAAATGTTTTCCTGGAGATCACACACCTCGCACCGCCAGCCGCTACAATGAAGACAAGAATTACTCATTCATGCGGGGCTTAAAAGTGCCATCATTGAGTTTCAGAGTAATGAAAAATGAGGATCAGTGGCAGCGCAATAAGAGTTGACAAAAAAGTATCAACTATCAATTCTGTAAAAAAGAGAACATAGCTGGAGCTTTTCTAAGGGTGTGGTTGTTTTAGAAGAGTCAGTCTATTTCAGACTTAGGATAAGGCCCTGTTTACACGAAATTTCTCTTTCTTTGTATCCATCTTTTACACCCAAATGAAGAATTTGCCTCTGAAAATGAATCTTTCTAAAAACTCCGGCTAGAGTGGAGATTATGGAAAACTACAGTTTCGTGTTTGCGTGTAAAGTGAGATAAACAGAGTTTTAGGAACTGATGCGCCAAAACTGTGATCCCTTTTGCTCTGATGATGATCATGGAGCATTCAGAGCAGCATTCACATTTTTTCAAACACTCTTCATGTGTTTGCATTTGCACACACAGCTGATGTTTCATATCAATGACCAGAGACAAATGAGGCTTAGAGGTCAGTGACTTTGCCATTTCTTTAACATATTTGTGTTGAGGTGAGCCCGCTCAGTAATGCACGATTTTCAAGATATTTTTGAGTAAATCTTACAACTGTAATGAAATAAATGCTACAGGTTTGAATCCAATCCAGGTGCTGCCCAGAGGCTTGGTATAGTTATGACGGTGCTTGATGCCGTGTTTATGCGGGTTGATGTAAACAAAAACTTTAAATGATGCTATGTGGACGATGTTATTTTGGAAAACAGAGGGAGGGAAATGTTAATTTCTCAACATATATGTGTAAACGTAGCCTAAGACAACAAGATAATAGATATTCAATAAAAGTATTACCTTTTCAAGTTCAAAATAACATTAGATTGTATTATAAAACTGTATTTTACATTGTCATTGCAACATCAGAATTGGGCTATTTCCTATGTATTGAAATAGAGGTTGAAATTCAGTACAACATAATTGAAGGCAAAGAGAATATAAAAACACTTCATGACATCAGCACATGGAAAAGTGTGTTGTGAGCTTATATAAAAAGGAGATTAACTCAATTTGCAGGATCACACAAACATGCATAAATGAAACAACCTGCACATATTTTAGATAAGTATCCATCAAAAGTCACTTTCACTTAATATAAGCTCTTCACTATTATGAGCTTTTGCTGTGTAATAATATTATATAAATTTAATATGCTGTTGTTTTACTGAACCTGGGAGGGATCTTGACTCCGTTGTCCAGTTGTTTGAGGTCGGCTGCGTGCTTTGACTCCTGCCTCACTTCTCCGTCCCACTGCTGCACTTGTAACGCGTGAGACACTGAGTCAGCCGCCATGATGCCCGCCATCGACCGGGAAACCTGAACGAAGGACAAAATAACACCCAAATCAATAGGATTATATCTACTGTTGTATTAGTACCACCAACAATAATGCAGGTTCTGTTCAGTGTTTTTTAATCGCTGAAGTGACCAATTTATAAAATGTCTTACAGATACTTTACTGATCCTGAAGGAAATTCAAATTACATTGCATTTTATATAAACTTTTTTAATAATAAATTTAAGATCATTGATAAAAGATGCAATAACATAATATGATTTTCAGTTTTTATCAATCGTAAACACACACAGAGAGATTGGTAGATAGATGAATAGAACAGCAAAGCCAGTAAATGTTTTGATTTCTAAATAAAAATATAAATGTAGATCTATGTAATTATCTTAAAATTCATGTGGCATCGATGAAAAAGTGTGACAAAAAGGCGGTTTCAAAAGACTCACTCGTTCTTTCACGACCTCCGTCATAGTTGTGAGGTCGTCAGATGTTACTTCTTGCCGGTCGGGTAAAATTACCACTTTTATATCCTCCTCGTATTGGTCTTGGTCAACATCAAATCCCCCTTCAATCCCTGGACAGGAAGGAAAGAGCTATTCTACTCTGTCGCAGGCCAATATTGAAATTACAAAAAGTACAAACAGCAATTACGGATAGCTCTGACTCAGCTCTACTCAAAGCATAAAAACATTACTTTGGTAGGACTTTTATGCCAGAAAATAGTAAATACAGCTGTGCTTTTGTGTGGATTCTGCGAAGGCAATACAGAAATAAATCTGTTTAATTTTAGTAACTTAATCCCAATAAAATGAGTGGAGTAAAAATTATGCTTATTGTTAGGGATGTAACAATAACCGAAATATCGTGATATTGTATCGTCAAAAGTCTCACAGTAATACAGAATTACAAGTTTCTTTGGTTAAATGCATTGTTTTATAGTAGTAACAGCTTATAAACATCAGGAACTACATATCCCATGATTCATTTCAGTGCAGACATCATCAAGAAATAGTTTTTTTTACTTGAATTCTTGGGATTATGACAGAAATAATTCACACCAAAAGCTTGTCAAGGTATTTTAAAAGCAAAAAGTGTCCTATCTACAATTACAGAAGCCTCTCCAAAATATTGCAATAAATATCCTACCGTGAGATTTGGATATCGTTACATCCCTACTTTTGTCTATTCTGGTAAAAGGGGACTGCTAAAAGACAATTATAGTTTCTTTTCCGATAATACAAACAAAAATGAGTGATTTTGTGATGATAATATAATATAGTCCAGGTTGTTTTTAGTCCATGGAGAGAATTTTAGGCTTTGGAGGGCCACTTTAGTCTCCTCTATTAATGGGAGACACTGTAATAGGGTCTGAGGGTCTATATCTGGGAGTGGCAATGGTTAAAGTAACTTACCGATGGCTAGTCTGGTGGGCTTTTTCTTTGGTGGGTGTCCAGCGGCAGAGTTATTGTCATCTTCGCTCTGAAAATTACATGTACAGTGTGTCATATTCACATGCTGTTCATATTTACATTCTAATATTAACAACAAACATGGCATTAACAGATATGATTTGAACCTTGGGCTTGCGGGTCCTGGTGATGTGCAGGTAGGCTCTCTGTCCGGTCCGTGCATAATGTCTGTCCACATATTGACTGCCAAAGCCCAGAAAGGTGTTCATGCACACAAACAAGCCCCCTTCACTTTCCTGAAACAGACAGATAAAAGATTTGATAATTTGCAGAGTCATTGTTCAACTAGGGTGACCAGATTTTCAAAATTCTAAACTGGGACACACCCAGATCGAGATGGTTTGTATAAATAAAATAGTGAAAAGAGCAAGTAACATTGCGCATTCTTGTGCAAGTCATAATCTGAGGGGCTTCTGAGTGACGCTGCATTTGTTTGCTTTAAGGTTATTCACAAACACAGATTTCTGTATTTTGGCCAAACAAATGACAATCTGTGCTCCGCTTTACTGTTGGCAGGGATCAGATTAGTTAAACATTGTCATAGTCCTAGTTTAGTCCTGGTTTAGTCCTGGTTTAGTCCTGGTTTAGTCCTGGTTTAGTCCTGGTTTAGTCCTGTTTAGTCCTGGTTTAATCTTAGTTTAGTCCTGGTTTAGAGCTGATGTAGTCCTGATGTAGTCCTGGTTTAATCTTAGTTTAGTCCTGATGTAGTCCTGGTTTATTCTTAGTTTAGTTCTGGTTTAGATCTGATGTAGTCCTGTTTTTTAGTTGATAAAGTCCTGGTTTAATCTTAGTTTAGTCCTGTTTTAGACTTGATGTGGTCCTGTTTTAGACCTGATGTAGTCCTGTTTTAGTCCTGGTTTAGACCTGATGTAGTCCTGGTTTAGACCTGATGTAGTCCTGGTTTAGACCTGATGTAGTCCTGGTTTAGACCTGATGTAGTCCTGTCTTAGACCTGATGTAGTCCTGGTTTAGTCTTGGTTTAGTCTTGGTTTAGACCTGATGTAGTCCTGGTTTAGTCTTGGTTTAGACCTGATGTAGTCCTGGTTTAGTCTTGGTTTAGACTTGGTTTAGACCTGATGTAGTCCTGCTTTAGTTTAGTCCTGGTTTAGAATTGATGTAGTCCTGATTTAATCTTGGTTTAGACTTGGTTAAATCCTGGTTTAGATCAAATTGATCAAAAACAGGGACACCTGGGACACTTCTTGTATAAACTTTGAATAATCAGAGGTTTTGCATAAATCTGGGGACACTGGGCACAAAACTGGGACTGTCCCGGGTAAACAGGGACGTCTGGTCTCTCTATGTTCAACACCACTGTCAGCTAAACGAGAAGTCCCTTTAAAGTAACATTTACGAACAAAAAACCTTAACAAATACGAACTCTAACATTGTAAAACAGCGTGACAAACATGCACTACTTTGACAGAGCAGCCTTTAAAGCTAATGCTGCTAGCGGCTACATTACACTCCAAAACTATTAGCTTAGCATAACCTAGCATGCTCGTCATTCAGAAGAGAAACTGGACTAAAATAGGGATCAAATGTCCAGAAAGGGTTGGCATTTTGTGAGTTTAGCCTGAAATGATCACGAAGACACGGGCAGGGAGGCGCTGGCATGCTGCTGTGGACATTTACGGAGGAGGATGTCTCACCGGTGAGGCAAATGACAAGGCGCATTCGTCTTTGTGGACTCGGTCTCCGGTTTTTGGGACCCGAATTGTGGACAGCACCGACATCAAGACCTCGCCAACGTCCGCCATGGCCAGTCCGTATGATCCGCCTTACAATGGTACGGGGTGTTGAGCTGAGTTTGTGGCCCCAGCCTTTTACTGCGCGGCTCTTTCTGCGGGTCCGTGTCCGGCTGAATGAACCATGAGATGCTGAATGCGCCGAAGGAGGAAGGCCGGAGCGCACGAGCCAGCGCCGACTGCCGCCCGCGCCGTAAAACAACAAGTGTGCAACCACAAATATTAGTCTGATTTAGATTTAAGGTGAGCCCCCTGTGGCCCCTGTCCCAGTAGATTTTATATAAAAAAAAAAAAAAAAAAAAAAAAAAAAAAAAGAGTGATTTGTCATAGTTTTATGGCATGTGTCTCTATTTTTGACCAATTTGATCTAAACCAGGTCTAAATCAGGACTAAACTAAGATTAAACCAGGACTACATCAAGCCTAAACCAGGACTAAACTACATTATGGTCTAAACCAAGACTAAACTAAGACTTAACCAGGACTACATCAAGTCTAAACCAGGACTAAACCAGGTTTATATCAGGTCTAAACCAAGACTAAGATAAGACTAAAACAGGACTACATCAGATCTAAACCAAGACTAAACCAGGACTACATCAGGTCTAAACCAGGACTAAACTAAAACTAAACCAGGACTACATCAGGTCTAAACCAAGACTAAACTAAGATTAAACCAGGACTACATCAGATCTAAACCAGGACTACATCAGGTCTAAACCAGGACTAAACTAAGATTAAACCAGGACTACATCAGATCTAAACCAGGACTACATCAGGTCTAAACCAGGACTAAACTAAGATTAAACCAGGGCTACATCAGGTCTAAACCAGGACTACATAAATTCTAAATCAGGACTAAACTAAGATTAAACCAGGACTACATCAGATCTAAACCAGGACTAACTAAAACTAAATCAGGATTACATCAGGTCTAAACCAGGACTAAAGTAAGATTAAATCAGGACTACATCAAGTCTAAACCAGGACTAAAACTGGACTATCACAATTTTTGACTAATCTGATCCCTGCTAACAGTAAAGAGGAGCATAAATTGTCATTTATTTTTGCTCTTTTCACAATTTTATTTATACCAAATATCCCAACCCAGGTGTGTCCCAGTTTAGAATTTTGAACATCTGGTCACCCTATTTAAACATTTTCTCTAAAGCTCCAGTAATACTCTTACAGAAGCAACTGAACACAAACAACACAGGGATAATATAATATAAAATCGTTTATTATTTGAACTGAACCAAATATGAGAGTGTTCGCATTTTCAAGTGTCTTCTATAGTCATAGTTACGGTAATTCCAGTCAAAACATCCACCAGCGCCCCCTCCCTGCCACACGTGACCACTGCAGGTTCTTAAAAAAATATTTCCATCTTTGAGTAAGAGAAAAAAAAACAAAAAACACTTTAATATTTATATGAGATGATATTTATATGATATTCTGGACCTGATTTGGTTTTCTATTTCTTTCTTCAGTCTTGCTCGAGTGGGAGGATCACAAGGGGAGGAAACTTGTGGACCAAATGCGCTAAGTTTCCATAGTCCCTCCTCCTCTTCTCCCTGAGGTCTTCTGCACAGGACCATGGCGCTCCCGTCTCCTCATTTGACTGTATACGTGGCGTTTCATGTCGTTATTTTTGCATTATTGGATGTTTCAGTGATCCACGCGGGCAGTGGCAGCTCTGGTAGTTTAGGTTTGCACTTGCAGCCGTATGATTTTCTTTATTACAGCGGAGTACGTGCGTATTTCGGAGGGGAGTGGGTGAAAGCTGCAGAGCTCCTGGAGAAGTCCCTCTTAACCAAAGAAACATTATTTAAACTTCGTAGACAGTGTTATGATGAGTGCCAAACTGCAGGAACAGATGCACTCCACAAACTGGGTAAGTCATCAAGTCTTTATATTAATAAGTCCTGTCAAGATCTAATCCTGAGTAATGTGCTAAATATCTGCAGAATGTCAGTGATGGACAATACAAAACACAAGACAGCACAGGCATTTACACTTACACTTAGACTTAGACAAACTTTATTGATCCACAAGGGAAATTATTTGGACACAGCAGCTCACACATCACAATATAATAACAGAGAGTAAATAATATATATAAGATTCACACCCTGAGCGCCTGAGAGAGTGGCAGTAGGGTCACAGTAGCTCCTGAAAAATATATTTATTCTTACATTCATAGCATTGTTTACAAAGTACATATGCTAAAGTTTTAGACCTGTAGATTAACTTTTTCTAAGACATAGTGTTTGACTTGCAATTAGAAATTTTGTGTTTCTTAATTTAAATTAGTTATGTGTTCAGTTTATTTTACTTATTTAGTGTCATGCACCATTTAGTTGGTGCCCAGCCCACGTAAAACAACAGACAGATCGCACATCAAACATAAAGTGTCGTCTTACAGGGGTCCCAGACTTTTAACACAAACTGAACCAGCTTGAAAACATTACATTTAAACAAATGCTCCAGTCTCTCCTCATCAGACACAACAAACCAACAGTGAGATACATTAGACAACAACTGACAGCGCAGTTCATGATACAAAGGACAGTAGTACAGAAAATGCATTTTATTTTCAATGTCCTTTAAGTCACACAGAGACATGTGCGCTTCTCATCTGGGTCTGAGTGGAAATGTCCCGCCTCCAAAGCCAGAGGCAGAGCCCCACACCTCAGCTGGGTGCATACTGACCTCTGACCTCTACTCAAGTTCAAAGTTTCACGAGGCTCAGGACCAAAACAGTCTTTAATTAAAATATATGTTCTTAATTTTTTATTTTATGTAAGATTTCATTGTGCCACTTCTGTTTATACTTGTCAAAGTAAATGTTCCTAGTCTGTGAACTTATTTCTATAAATAAACTGAAGTTCTGCATCCTCAAAAATTTTCTCAACCTCTCTACTTCAGGGTGATTTATGTAACAGACTCCACTTAAATACATGTTTGGTTAATCTTGTGTTTTGCATTATGAATTATGTTTTTTTTACATAATCAAGACAAACAACCTTACTATTACAGAGATGCACAATTAATTGAATAACTCCTTGTTGTTTTGACAGACAGTGAAAAGGGAAACCTGTGGGACCTGTGGACTCTGGACTGGGTGCAGCAGAAAGCTGAATGTCTGAGATTTTGTTTGGGAAAGTCGATTTCTCCCGCAGCTCTGCTCCCGGTCTCCTCCGATATCGAATATGAGTTTGGCTCCAGAAACCCGTACAACTTTCTCCAGGTTACATACTACAAAGTAAGTAAGCCAAAGTAAGGTCTACTGATGATAAATAACACAGTGGTGCAAGATAAACATCAATATCTCATCATATATCATATATATATATATATATATATATATATATATATATATATATATATATATATATATATATATATATATATATATATATATATATATATATATATATATATATATATATATATATATATATATATATATATATATATATATATATATATATATATATATATATATATATATATTTATTTTTTTTTTTTTTCCAAGATAAAGGATCATTAAATAACATTCTTGCCATCAAACAGAATTGTACAAAGGTGTAGGTTTAATTTTACACTGGGTGGATGATTTATGAAGTTATGACGATTTTCCCTTGAGTTTCTACAAAATGTGAATGGAAACTGGATGTTTTTCATTATAGATCTTCTACTCAATATTCTAAATTTGCATATCTAAAAAGAAAAAAAGGCCATGTCATAAATTTTCTGATATATCTCCCACCTATTGTTTCTAGAATCTCTTAAATATAAAATTACTGTAAAAATAACCAACACAAAATGATCACCTTAATTTCTTTTCCTGTGTGTTTAAATAATCTTTTTGTGACTTTTTATGTTTTCTTAAATCATATATTCAATATTGTAATTTTTCCTATCTTCTTAACATCTTCTTAACTATCTTCTTAGTGTTTTTTCTGCATTCTGGGTGGCACTCATAAAACTTTCTCTTGCCTCAGCTGGAAAAGCTGCAGAGGGCAGCATCAGCAGCTCACACTTACTTCGTGGCTAATCCCAGTCATCTGGAGATGAGGAACAACATAGAAAAGTACCGGAGGATGGAGGGAGTGACTCAAGACGCTTTTCAGGACAGAGAGGCCGACAACGAAAGACACTGGGTAAGAACAGGTCAATAAAAAGGTGAGCCAAGTGAGTGCAGACTGTAATGTTTTGGTTTTATATTAAAGTTACTATAGATGCAAGTATTTAACCAGGTCTAAATGAGAGCTAAATCAGGTTTAGACCAGGACTGAAGTAGGGCTGAAGAAGAATTGAGCTGGGACTGAACCAGGACTGAACCAGGACTGAACCAGGACTGAACCAGGACTGAACCAGGACTGAACCAGGACTGAACCAGGACTAAACCAGGACTGAACCAGGACTAAACCAGGACTGAACCAGGACTAAACCAGAACTAAAATGGGGTTGAACGGAACTTAACCAAGACTGAACCAGGACTATATGAAGGACTTATCCAGGACTAATCTATGTCTAAACCAGGACTAAATAATGACTAAACCAGGACTCAACCATGACAAAACCAGAGCTCAGCCAGACTGTACTAGGACTGAACCAGAACTCAACCAAAACTGAATCAGGAGACTAAACCAGGACTCAAATGGGACTGAACAGAACTTAACCAAGACTGAACCAGGACTATATGAAGACTGCACCAGGATTTACCCAAGACTAATCTATGTCTAATCTACCAAGACTAAATAAAGACTAAACCAGGACTCTACTAGGACTGAACCAGAACTGGGCCAAACTCAACCAAAACTGACCTGACTGTCTTTACCTTCCTAAGGAGAGGCTCACATTCACCCGATTTGAATGTCCTGGTGTCACATTATATGTGTCCATCTTGAATTTACTCACCGACTCAGTAGTTTTTCACTTAAAAACTTGCATTCTTACTGTGAGTGGGCTCGCCTCTCCACAGGCCTGACATGTAACTCCTCCCTGTGGTGTCACCTGCTGTCTCCATAGAGATGAATAAGTGTAATGCCATACTGCGTTATATTCCAGGCAATATCTCCACGGAGAGAAGCAGGTGAAGTTAAAGTGAGGAATAACTTTGGACCAGATTTTCACATTAAGCTATTTTTTTTTTATTTTGCTTGTGCTCAAAAGACCAAAATCTCTTCGAAAATTGTAAAAGTAGATTATAGCTTCATTATTTCATTTTCAAACCATGAAAGGAGGAAGTCTGTATTTAAATCTAACTAATCTAATTTAATTGCTCAGACACACTCCTTTCAGCACTTATTTCTGGGTTTATATAAGATAACGTGTTGTCATTTATACTCTGTGGGTCAAAATACAATATTGAACCAGTATTATTCAATAAGACTGTAGTCATTTAGTCATTTAGTTGTTTAATTGGTCAGTATTGAGTAATTATTATTATTAATTAAGATTTCTAAGGTTTTGTGTACTAGGACTGAACCAGAACTGGGCCAAAACTCAACCAGGATCGAACAAGGACTAAACCAGAACTGAACCAGGACTCTACCAGGACTAACCTAGATCTAATTCAAGATTAAACCAGGACCTTTAGTTCATATAGTACATATATAGTTAAAAATGTACTATGTAACTTTTTGGCAGGGTCTATCACCTTCTTGTTCCTATGGAGATGTCGTCGCTCTGTTTGGAATGTTCCGCAGTGTGACATTAAACAGCTCTACCTTACATTTATTCAATTACAGTTGGTTTTATAGCGCAAAAATCTCGATGAGGAGGGTTGTCTCTCCATAGATCTGACCTGGAACTTGGTCTGGTTTGGTCTCCATGGAGATAGAAAGGTTTAATGCCATACTGTGAAACATTCCAGAAAAAAACAATGGCATTTCCACGGAGAAAAGCATTTGACGAACCCTCAATTTTAGGAGATAATAAGTTAAATTTTTGTGTTTTTTTAGCTGAACTTCGTCTCTAAGTAAAATCGTGTTATTCCAATATTTTGCTGCAGATTTATGATGTACAAATCTCTCTCCATCCGTCAGATTTTGTACGACTCTGCTCTTCAGCTGGAGGCGTCTGCGGACTGGGCGGGAGCGACTGAAAAATGGAGAGAGTGTGTGAATGAAACACTGAGACAGACGGAGGAGTGCAGAGTCCAGTGTGAAACCTCCTCACAGCTGCTGCCCGAGGACAGAGGAGAGGAGGGAGTCCACGGGGCGTTTGAGAAGGCTGCAGGCAAGGACAAAAGAAATAGAGCTGTTGCTTTGAGTCAAAAGTTTCACAGTATTGCATTAAACAACAGTTCTCTTGCATTTATTCAATTACAGATGCTTTTTGTTTTGAAAAAGAGAGAAAATACAACTAAAACAATGTATTTTATTATCTGATTATGTCAAAATTTCACAACAACAAACCTGATGCAATGTGCCGTAGTTTCATTAGTGGAATGCGAATAAAACTAAACTAAAACTAACATTATTTTTTGCAAATATAGCATTTTCAAAACAATAAAAGGTGGTGTAAATAATTATGTGTTAACAATTAATTCTAACCTGATTCATCAGCCGGTTTCACTTCGTAGAAACTGTCTGACCTTGCAGCATTAGGTTTAGTTTGCTTGACGTTAGGCCGGTCGTTTTTTTTTTATTTAACCAATCGCTGCTATTTGGTCGTGACGTATGTAATGCGCCACTAACGGAGCTGACTGGTATATTAAGCTTTTCCCAAATCCTGTAGGAAAAAGGGCAATAACGTCTTTCTCCTTGATAAAATTCACTGAACATTCTCTTTGTTCCAGCTTTAAATCCTCGGATCTCGAGAATCGTTGCCAACACAGAATGTATGGTCTTCACTGATTGGTTGGTGCCCGAACTTGCACTTCCAGGGTTTTTGCGAACTGTCTAGCGTATTCCGATTCCTGACCTAGTCGCTGGAGAGAAATGAAATCGAGAGGAGGCACTAGGTGACACCAGCCTGGCTAAATTAATACCCCATAGAAATGTAAAAAAATAAATAAATTGTATCGCGCAGAGGTGGGACCAAGTCGTTGTTTTGGAAGTCTCAATTAAGTCTCAAGTTTTTAACCTCAAGTCCGAGTCAAGTCCCAAGTTAAATACAGGCAAGTCCAGGTCGCGTCTCGAGTCACTGCCCCATAAGTCCAAGTCAAGTTCAAGTCGTCTGCTTTGGGCTTCAAGTCATTTCAAGTCTTTAAACAAAAATACCAAATATAGCTTAAATATTTGCAATTTATATGATTTTTAAACTAAATTGTACTTAAAAAGTCGTGGTATATGAGTATTTATATTTGAGTTGTAGAAATGCAATTTTTTTCCTTTTTAAATGTTTTGACAAAAGTGTAAATTATTACGATCAGAACAGAAAAAGTTAAGATTTTAAAAGTGCTTAATAACAGTTCATTTGTCAACTAGTCTAAGCATCAAGTCTTCACAAGTCACAGGGCTTAAGTCCAAATCAAGTCCCAAGTTTCTGACCTTCAAATTCAAGTCGAGTCCCAAGTCTTAGTCCATTTTATCAAGTCAAGTCTCTAGTCTGACTCAATTCCAAGTCACAACTCACATAATCAAACCACTGGATACAGCAGATCTGTATATATGTTTTAATATGATATTTTTTTGTCGTTTTTCAGCTCTTTCTCTGTCGCTTCTGTCGTGCCGCCAGTCGTGTGTCACTCAAGTCTCCACTCGACCTGGAAGAATCTCTGCCCAAGAGGATTTACTGCCCACTCAGCTCGAGCATCTGCACATAGCACAGTTCAAAGGTCATTACAAGACGTATTTACACTTCCAGACCTTTTCAATTATCAAGTAAATACTAAGTTCTTTTATGGTTAAATGCAGTTACAACATTTTTGCCAATCTAGTCAGAAATAGGAATTCAATTAGACATTTTTATTTTACATTTAAGTATTTAAACAGAACTAAATGAAAGCTAAATTAGGTTTCTACCAGGAATGAAGTAGGTCTGGAACAGGATTGAACCAGGACTAAAACAGGGCTGAACCAGGACTAAAACAGGACTGAACCAGGACTAAAACAGGGCTGAACCAGGACTGAACCAGGACTGAACCAGGACTGAACCAGGACTGAACCAGGACTGAACAAAGACTGAACCAGGGCTGAATGAGGATTAAACCAGGACTAAAACAGGACTAAAACAGGGCTGAACCAGGGCTGAACCAGGACTAAAACAGGGCTGAACCAGGACTAAAACAGGACTGAACCAGGACTGAACCAGGACTGAACCAGGACTGAACCAGGACTGAACCAGGACTGAACCAGGACTGAACAAAGACTGAACCAGGGCTGAATGAGGATTAAACCAGGACTAAAACAGGACTAAAACAGGGCTGAACCAGGGCTGAACCAGGACTAAAACAGGACTGAACCAGGACTAAAACAGGACTGAAACAGGACTGAACCAGGACTGAACAAAGACTGAACCAGGGCTGAATGAGGATTAAACCAGGACTAAAACAGGACTAAACCAGGGCTGAACCAGGGCCGAACCAGGACTAAACCAGGACTGAAATTGGCCTGAACAGAACTCAACCAAGACTGAACCAGAACAATATGAAGACCGCACCAGGACCCAGGTCTAAATAAAGACTAAACCAGAACTCAGCCACTACAACACTAGAAGTCAACCAGGACTCTACTAGGACTGGGCCAAAACTCAATCAGAACTGAACCAGGACTCTACCAGGACTGAACTAGGACTAATTCACGATTAAACCAGGACCTTTAGTTCATATAGTATATATAGCTAAAGTTGCACTATGTAACTTTTAAGCAGGGGGTCCTTCACCTTCTTGTTTCTATGGATATATCTTGGAATGTTCCACAGTATGACATTAAACAGTTCTACCTTATATTTATTCAATTACAGGTGGTTTTAAAGCACAAAAATACCTAGAAAAACAGCATTCTGTCTGTGAGCGAGGTCGCCTCTCCACAGATCTGACCTGTAACTTGGTCTGGTTTGGTCTCCATGGAGATAGAAAGATTTAATATCATACTGTGAAACATTCCAGACAAAACAATAACATGGACAAAAGCAAGGTATCAGAAATAGAAATTTGATTAGACATTTTTATCAGTAATTTTATAATAGTTTGGGAACAATTTTTTGTAACTTTTTGTCATTTTGCTTAAAAATAGCCACACAAAAAAAGCGATTTGATTCTCAGCCTCTTTTTTTTTTTTTTTTTCTTATTTTTCTTTTTTATTTGTGTTTGTTCACAGCTGGAGACATTGCCGGGGCAGTGCAGACTCTTCGCTCTCTCCTCCTGTTTTACCCAACGGATAAAGACAACTTGGACAACCTGCAACTCTACGCTGAGACTCTAGGGGGAGACAAAGAGTCACTGGGCCCACAGCCTGCACAGGTCTGCTTTTTCTTTTCATAAATGTCCATTATTGTTTGAGCCCGACAGCTGGTTCATTCTGTGTCATCCAAATAGTGTAATATGTCTAATATGTGGCTCTTTTAATCCCAGTCCAGTATTTCTGAATACTTGGAAAATCCCAAAAAACAGAATAATGGGTTACATCAGTGCTCCTCAACCTTTTTAGCTCCACAGACTGATTGTATGACAATATTTTGAGGACTGGGGGCTGCGGTGGCCTGGCATGGTTTAGTCTTGTTTTAGACCTGGTTTAGATCTGGTTTGTTGTGGTTATCCTGTTTTCGTCCTGGTTTTAGTCCTGGTTTAGTCCTGGTTAAATCATATTTTAGCCCTATTTTAGTCCTGGTTAAAACCTGGTTTAGACCTAGTTTTAGTCCTGTTTTAGACCTGGTTTAGTCCTGGTTAAGTCCTGGTTAAATTCTGTTTTAGTCCTGGTTCAGTCCTGTTTTAGTCCTGTTTTAGTCCTGTTTTAGTCCTGGGTTTAGTCCTGGGTTTAGTCCTGGGTTTAGTCCTGGGTTTAGACCTGGGTTTAGACCTGGTTTAGTCTGGTTTTAGTCCTGGTTTAGTCCTGGGTTTAGTCCTGGGTTTAGACCTGGGTTTAGACCTGGTTTAGATGTGGTTTTAGTTCTGGTTTAGTCCTGGTTTAGTCCTGGGTTTAGACCTGGTTTAGATGTGGTTTTAGTCCTGGTTTAGTCCTGGTTTAGTCCTGGTTTAGTCCTGGTTTAGTCCTGGGTTTAGACCTGGGTTTAGTCCTGGTTTAGTCCGGGTTTAGACCTGGTTTAGAACTGGTTTTAGTCCTGGTTTAGTCCTGGTTTAGTCCTGGTTTAGTCCTGGTTTACTCTTAGTTTAGTCCTGGGTTAGTCCTGTTTGTCCTGTAAGTTGTTTATTTCCTGTTGTTTATTTTATTTAATTCACAAAACTCATGTGCTAATTTAAACTATGAAAAACATACAACATGAATCAACAAAATTCACTCTGCTTGTCTCTTTTTTGCAGGAGATTGTGAGGTATGTTCGTCGGTCGCTGCAGGAGAAAAAGCTTCTTTACTTTGGAATGGAAAACCTGGATTTCACATTTACAGATCCAGTGAGTATCATGTCATACCTTTATTACTTTATTAAACCTCATTAACTATTGTACTTAATTTTCTTTATTTATTTAGCGCTTTGTGTTGCATTTTTGTATGAGAAGCACTCTATAAATAAAGTTTGTTGTTGTTTATATTGTTTTTTGTTTTTGTTGTGTTTTTCTTCACAGGATTTATGGACTCCTGAAGATGTTGTTCCTGAATCACTGAGGGAAAAATGGAGGTGAGTGAGTCAAATTATCTGTACAGTATTTGTATAAAGGGAAAAGAGAAGGACCAAACTGAATTTTTATGGCAAATTTTACTCTATTCACTGCCAAAAAATGTATTAAATGTTTGTTTTCATGAAGATGTTATTGCTTTGAGCCTAACTTTTCACAGTATTACATTAAACTTATTTACTCTCGAATTCATTGCATTCTTCCTGTGACTTGGCCTACTGGTCTTCATGGAGATAGATAAGTTTAATGCCATAATGTGGAAATTTCCAGGCAAAGTAATGACCTCTCTGTGATCCTTCAACGCTAAAAATGACACAAGTACAACTAACTGCTTAACAACCGGGTTAATAGATTGATTAATCATTTTAGCCTCTCCTGTAGTCACCAGAATCGTGATTTTTTTTGTGAATAATTTCAGTGCTGAGAAAGAACAAATGAATGAAAGGATGAATAAAGGAGAGCAACAGGAGGACGTGGACGACAGTGGTTTCTTTGGAGGTAAAAATGTTTTTTCACGTTGCCTAAACAGGAAGCTGCAATCGCATGAATAACAGGACGATTAAGCGCCTCCATTTTTTTTTACTTTTCTTGACCAATTCAAAAAACAACATTTAACCATTGCAGTATTTTTACCGAGGATTTACAGTTTATTACAAGTACAAATGGTCTTCAGATTATATTATATTTTATATTCTACATATATTTTGCAGCCTGTACTCTTTTTGTTAATTTTTTAATTGTGATTTTGTTGTGATTTATTTATTATTTGGCAGGGACAATGCAATTAGACATAGTTACAAAACAAAGCTGCAGTTGATAGTGTAACAAGTTCTCATTTTCAACTTTTGTCCCTGTTTTTCTTCTCTAAAATACACAATACAAGACATAATCCAAACTACATAAGAGCATTACTCATCTATATAAATACAAGAGTGCAATTAAACATTTCAACGCTCATTCATTCCCTTCGCTCATTCACTCTCTTTTATGATCTGTAGGGGGCACTGTTCCCCAGGTGGGCGTGACCATCACCATGGACGATTTAATGATGAATGGAACAAATCGAGTCGTTCTGGACGGAGTCATGACCCAAAAAGAGTGTGACACAATACTGCAGTTAGCATCAGTAAGTACAAGTATAAGTACACAGCAAAAATAGATCCATAGAAGATCTACATTATTTGAAATACATTAACAACTTGTTGTTGTTTTGGTTAGTTTAGACCAGGAGTGTCAAACTCAAATTCACAGAGGGACAAAATTAAAATGGGACTAAGTCGCGGGCCAAACTAAATATTTACTGAAAAATTTCAACAACATCTGCATGTTTTCTCTTTTTTCGAGATATGTAATGTTAAACCTTTTCTTATTAAAATAAATGTTTAGCTAAAACATTGAATCCAGAACAAGCATAATATAAAATAATAACAAAATTTTGAATAGGCTATAGAGACATTATTTATCTATAGCTGGCAGGCCAGCTCTAATACATATTTGATATGATCTCGTGGGCCAAATATAAGTATATCGTGGGCCAAATTTGGCCCCCGGGCCTGAGTTTGACTTGTCTGGTTTAAACAGTTGTTAATTGACAGCTTTCATAGAGTTTGGATTGTTTTCAGTATTGACATAGATGCACTTTAAAAGTCAACAAATTAAAAAGAAAAATAAAAGTACTGTAGTATTTTTAAATGATCAGATTCTAAACATTACATCTGTTTTGTTTGATTGACAGGCGGCTGGTTCTGTTGGAGATGGCTACAGGGGGCGCCGGTCTCCACACACGCCCCATGAGACGTTTGAGGGTCTGACGGTGCTCAGGGCGGCAAAGGTGGACTGTTTTTATAATAAATTACTTCTGAATTTGCTAAAATGAATTGATAAATGTAAGGTGTTTAGATGGCATTTGAATCAGTCAATCAATGATCAATGATCAGATCTTTGGAGTTAATGTAAACATGTAAACATAGCCCTCGTGTGTCTCACAGTTGGGTCAGGACGGTTTGGTGAATCACACTGATGCTAAACTCCTCCATGAGCTCGGGGAGAGAGTGAGGACCCTGCTCCACTCGTACTTCAGGAGCCCCTCGGCACTCTTCGTTTCTTTCACTCACCTGGTCTGTCGCAGCGCCATCACAGGTGAGAGAGAGAATGACTATTCGACAAGAGAAATAAAAGTGTCTACAGAATAATATCAACATTTTTCAATTCATATGCTGTTTACAGTTTTGATAGAAATTTAGATTTTCCGTGTGTTACATTATGTAGCTGTTATTTATCCCATAAGTAAATACAGAATAACTTTGTGTGAATACATGTTCTAACAATATGAGACTCTCTGGGCCAATTACAGCCAGTAAATAAATAGTCTAAGCTCAACCAGAATATCGGCTGAACTGATATCTGAGCTGATATCTGATCCAGCAAATTTTTCAGTATCTACACCAATATTCAATACCAGTATCAGACTGGCGCATCCATAGTTGTGATTAAGTGGAGTAAAATCTTAACCCAACTCAGAATGACTTGCTTATTGAATGAGATTTTAAAGATAAATGAATAATATATTGTTTTAAATTTACTGTGCAGGAGACCAGGAGGGCAGGATGGACCTGTCTCACCCGGTTCACGTGGACAACTGCATCCTCGAACCTGAGACCAAACTGTGCTGGAAGGAACCACCCGCTTTTATCCACAGAGACCTCAGGTACATTTAGGTTGAATTTGTTTTGTTCTGTCTGTCATTTAAACATTTTATTGGCAAAAAAAAGAAGAAGAATTACTTAGAAGTCACAATAAGTGCTATATTATAGGGATGTAAGAATAACCGAAATATCGTGATATCGTATCGTCAAAAGTCTCACAATAATGCCATGGACCATCACAATATATCAAATTACAAGTCTCTTCACTACATAGACCATGATCCTTTGCTCTGTTTCAGAGCAGACTGCATGAAGAAATAAATGTTACAAGCACTTTTAAATCTTAGTTCTTTGGATTAAGTCTAGTGTTGAAGTCAAGACCGCTCTAATTGAGACCAAGACCAGTCCGAGACCACAGGGTCCCGAGACCAGGACCGAGACAAGACCAAGACTTTTAAAGGTCGAGACCAAGACAAGACCGAGTCCACAGCCCAACAAGACCAAATCAAGACCATCTTTGTCATTTTCTACTTTTATTTGTATTTTGGCACATGTATGTCAGTGTTTTTTATAAATCTGTCTCCTTTTGATCTGGTTAATGTTCATTTAGGCTTAAAATAGGCCAAGCAAACTCTCCTCCTGCTCCTTTTTTGGACCCTCACCCACAGTTTTAGAACTCCCTCTTTATTTCCACTTCCACTGGCACTTTACAGAAAACAACTTCAAAGTTAATCCAGTGGGTTTATTCAAGTTCATAACATCTACAGTTACATTATTTTACTGGTTGTGCAGTGATATTTAGCAGCCTCTGCACATTTACCATCCGTAATAAAATATGATCGCACTTGTCAAGCATCAAACCTTGAGCCCGAGACCTAGACCTAGACAAGACTGAGTCCAAATGCCCTTGAGTCCGAGACGAGACCAAGACCGGTCTTGAGTTCTACAACACTAAGACTTATCAGGGCATTTTAAGAAGGAAAAAGTAGCATATTCACAGTTTGGTTATCCTCCACACAATATCACAATAAATATCGTACTGTGAGATGTATATTGAACCTAGATTTGGATAACGTTACATCTCTACTATATTATTGACATACCTTTCAATAGATAATAAAATATAAGATGGAACTAATATTTTTAGCTGAATATTTATTGTGTGCACTAATGCTGAAGTTTAATTTCTTTGTAGAATTTAAACATTTGAGTTATTGAGTGTTGAATAAATAACATCTACAACAGTGACATCTGCATTGTTTTGTCCGCAGTGCCGTTTTATACCTGAACGAAGACTTTGATGGAGGAGAGCTGTTCTTCACTGACAGGGATGCAAAGACTGTCACTGTAAGTTTGTAATAATATAACATTATTATTAAAATAAATGACCAGTTAATCTAAAATATGGTACTTGCCAACAATGAAATCATCCTGCATCTATCGATACCTTTCACACAGTTTTAGTCTGAAGCTTTGTTACTCAAGTTTGACTTTTGTTTAAACACAATCTGACCTTTAAAGAGCTGACTTAGGTGGAACTGCAACAGGAGAGCAAATGTTAAACAAAACCCTCACAAAAACATGACAGTCAGAAGAGAACAGTAGCCAACAATTTAACCAACAATTTAACCACACTCACGTTATATGTTGACAAAAAGATCTATACTGAACCATGAATTTTCTTTAAGTTTAAGTATGCTCATATTGATTACATGCTCTATGAATTTGTTTTTGTAAATTGTATTTTTTTATTATATTGTATTGAGATTTTCTGATCTAAAAACGTTACACTGCAAAAAAGCTTGGTCAAATTTTAAGATATAAACACTTAAATCTATCAGAAAAAGACTTCAAAGTAGTGAAATTGTCTGTTCGTGCTGCAAGATCATTTTACTTGACAAGTTATCTTAAAATAAACTACCTCCAGACTAGAATCAAACAGCCTTTGAACTATAAGTAGATAATAATTCTGAAAACAAGATGAATAACCTGATATAAGTTTTAAAATTTTGGCCGGATCAGGGAAATTTGCAGTGGTTATATTTGGTCTTCCAAGTACCACAAGACCAAAACCAGGACTATTCCAGGTCTAAACTACGCCTAAATACGACTACACAACTGCTGTACTAGTTCTAAGCAAGGACTAACCCAAAGGAGGCCAAAAATGTTGGTTCAATTTAGCAAATATTTTAATTGCAGAGGACTCATATGACACATACCGCAGTTTGAGACCCACAAGTGTAGATGGTAATGGTAAACACAGGGTTCCCACTCTTTTTCACAGACAAAATTTTCAAACTTTTTCATAATTTTTTCATGACGTAAAGTGAATTTTTCATGACTTTATGGCACCTAAATATGAAATGTTAACCCTTTCCACTCACCGTATAGTTTTATAGTTTTTAAACATTCAAAATACTGTCAGTGCATTTATTGTCGTCTCTTTAAAACAAAAGGCACAGACATTTAGAAACAATCATAATAGCCAAATGAAAACTTAACAGGACGCTGTAGTTGCGTGAAAGAGATACTAAAATTCCTTTAATTGGATTCACAAAATTCCATTACTTTTCAAGGTCTGGAAAATGACATTTTCAATTTCTATAACTTCCAGGATTTCCATGACCGTGGGAACCCTGTAAACAAGCCCTAGCAGAGTTATGTCACTAAAAACTATCACTCAATAATGCATTTTTTGTATTTCTCATATTCCTCTCATGTCTAGGCCCGAGTGAAAGCCTTCCTGTGGGCGTCTGGTGGGTTTTTCCTCTGGTCCAGTCAATCCACACGGAGTTACTGCAGTGACCAAAGGGAATAGGTGTGCCCTGGCCCTGTGGTTCACCAAAGAAAAACATTATAGAGATATGGTGAGGCGTTTTATGACCGATGACTATGAAAGTATTTTGTATATTTTACTCAGTTAAACAAATCGTCATGAAACCCCAAGTCTGGAGGCACTATTGGCAAATCCATCATGGCTCATTCAAACTACAGTAGAAATGCAAATCATCTGTTGTGTGTGGATATGAAACGAGAACCTGTTGTTATAGTAAAAGTGAAAAAATGCATCGCACACCCAGATGGCTGATGTTCAAAAGCTTTTTTATTTTTATTTTTAAACAACATTTCATCAAAAAAAAAAAAGCCTTCGTCAGATATTTTTCTTGCTCTCGACCACCGTTTTTCTGGCTTTGGACCAGACATGTCAAACTCAGGCCCGGGGGCCAAATTTGGCCCGCGATATAATTATATTCGGTCTGTGAGATCATATCAAATATGTATTAGAGCTGCCCACCAGCTACAGATCGGCTATAGAGACATTATTTATTTAAAATTTGGGTAACAGTTTAGATTAGGGACCACATATTAATAGGTAGTTAATAGTAAAATGCATAATAAGTGCTTAATTACATCTTTGTTAGTATTTATAAAGTATTTTTAATGCATTTTTGTCTAAGGCCGTATTTTGCAAGTACTAGCGCATTAACAATTTTCTTCCCATTAAAGTGGTGGAGATTACAATGTTTTTGTGCATACACTGAAATCTTAAGCATTACTAAGTGTTTGATTAATGCCAACTAATAGCTAAGTAACAGCTTATAAACATACAAATGACCACTTAATTAGCTATTAATATGTGGTCCCTAAACTAAAGTGTTACCAAATTTTGTTATTCTTTTATTATTGTATTATTGTTATTGTTTTATTTTCTATAGGAAGAAGTTAGTGAGTGAGTAGGGGTGTGCAAAAATATCAAAATATTCTATCATTTAACGTGATGATACAGTATCAATATCATGGGCTGCTGTATCGATATATCACCAAGAGTATTTTTTGGTATATTTTACAAAATTATTTTGTTACAGAGCTATAGTTTTGTTGCTTGTTTAGAAGAAGAAAACTTGTTTATGCAACACATTTGACATTTTCACTGTTTTGATGAGTAACAAAGAGAGTTTAACAAAGACTTTTAGTATCACAGCCATGATATTTTTTATTAAACCGTATCGCAGACATGTCAAACTCAGGCCCGGGAGCCAAATTTGGCCCGCGATATAATTATATTTGGCCCGGCGAGCTCATATCAAACATGTATTAGAGCTGCCCCCGTTTAAGCAAAACTATTATTAAACATTTATTTTAATATGAAAGAAAAGAAAACATGCTGATGTTGAAATTTTTCAATAAATATTTAGTTTGGCCCACAACTTAGTCCCAGTTTTTAATTTTGGCCTCGTGAATTTGAGTTTGACTCCCCTGCCAAAGGACCACAGTTTTTCCTGCTTTGGACCACAGTACCAAAGCAAGAAAAATATCTGACGAAGGCTTTTTTGTGCCGAAATGTTATTTAAAAGATTTTGGACATTGCCCGTCTGAGTGTGTTATGCATTTTTTCTTTATTTTTCTGTTCCTTGCATTTGCGCCTCCACAGAAACTTTGGTGTGTGTTTTTTTTGTTTCATTGGAGCACCTGTTGTTATGGCATATCCGTGTGTTTCAGAGAATTTATGAAACAAAATACTGCGTTTGAACTGTTTATTTATTCAGTATTTATTTTCTGTGCAGGAGCGAGAGGAGGCAGAGGCCCTGTGGAGCGGAAAGACCATGGAGCAGGCCGCGCAGGCAGAGCAGGAGGCAGAAGCGGGCGCTACACAGGGTCGAAGCGGACGCAGCCAAACTCCACCCGAGCGCAGCCGAGGGAGTGGCAGGTCAAAGGGAAAGAGGGATGAACTGTGAGGGGAGAAAAAGATAAAACAAAACAATGCAATGTGCTGTTTTTTCAGGTAACACAACATACAATCTATAGGCCTGTAATGTTAAAATGAGATAAAAGCATGAACTTTCTTTCTCACATCATATTCAGACAAAGGAAACTGAATGGCCGACCTTCCAGTTATAAGAAAATTACCACTTATATTGCGCTTTTAGTTGAACCAAAAACATTTTAAAGGTGCACTATGTAACTTCTAAGGTGAAGGGTTACTTGCTTGTCAGTTGCAGGTGTTTATTATTTATTAAATCTGGGACAGTGCACATTAACCAGCATGTGTTCGTACGGCATGTAAATGTGCCAGAGTTTGCCGTGCAGGCTCATTTTCATCTGGAGTCCCATTGGCGGGACAAAAAACAGGACACAGGCACAGAACATTCAGTCCCTCACACAAGACAAAGACATTAGGATCAGTGAACACTAGAGATGTAACAATAAGTTAAATATTGTGATATCGTATTGTCAAGTTCTCACAATAATATCGTGGACGATCACAATATATAGAATTACAAGTCTCTTTGCACTGAAATGGAGCAAAGGATCATGGTCTATGTAGTTCCTTCTGTCTTTTTTAGATATTGCTGCACCATAACTCTTAATTTAAGCAGACTACATGAAGAAATAATAATAAGTATATAAGTTCTAAGCACTTTTAAGTTTTAGTTCTTTGGATTAAGTCTTGTCAAGGCATTTTAAGAAGAAAAAAATAATATATGAACAGTTTTAGCTGTTTAGCCTCCACAAAATATTGCAATAAATATCGTACCGTGAGAGTTGGATATTGTTACATCCCTAATCGGGAGCCTCCCCGCCATAAAATAAGGATTCCTGTTTTGTGGTTGGATAAATATAACTGGACTATAAACACTGAAACTTGGTAGTTTACAGATTTTAGTGACCAAGTGCCTTTATCACACTGTATGTATCCAACCACTGTGACACAAATGATCATACTGACAATCGTAATTTTGCCTTTATCTCAGTTAAACACTACAGGCCTATGTGCAGTTTCATGATGATGAATAATTGTAACCGTTTCCATAGTGATTAACAATTGAAAACAAAATGATTTCTTTTTTCATAGAACATGAAGCTGAAATGCGTTAATTTAATATCATCTGAAATTCAGCAGTTTGGTGCACCAGTCCAGTATTTTAATATCAGGAACAAAATGAACAATGAACAGTATTTTATAATTTATTTTACCAAGTCAATGCAATAATATAGTTGTGAAATTGTGATGTATATGCAGTATTTTGGATGTAGATTTTGTGTGTCAAAGGCTGGACTGCACTTTGATTTTCAGCGTGTTTTATATGAAGAAAATAAATCACATCGTTGACTTTGTATTGGTTTGTTACTGGTGACAGAACTGGGGATTCAGTGAGTTTATTTTATATCCTTTGTTGAAATAAGGGGATAATTTTGGGATGCCAGTCCAATTCAAGATACTATTTAGTTTTATGTTGTACTGTATTTTCCGCACTATAGGGCGCTCTGGATTATAAGGCGCGCTGTCATTGAATGGTCTATTTTCGAACTTTTTTCACATATAAACTGCACCGGACTATAAGGCGCATTAAACAAAACACAACAGTTGGATAAGTCAGTCAAACTTTATTTAACACTTTCACAATAACTCTCAACTTTGTTCAATTGTAACGTGTAAAAAATACTGTCTGAGACGCTAAATTGTTAGTGTATTCACAATAACTCATAATTGTTCAAACAGTTGGGCGATTACGGCGTCCAGCACACCCACATCCCTCTCGTCATTATCCGAGTCAGTGTGGTTACTGTTCCCTGGCAGTTCAGTGATGATTCTGGTCTTGGTGAAAGCTCGGACCACAGTTGATACTGATCCTTAGCCCAGGCGTCCACAATCCGTTGGCAGATCGTGGTGTAAGTCGCTCGGCGCTGTCTCCCTGTCTTGGTGAATGTGTGTTCACCTTCTCTCATCCACTGCTCCCACGCAGCTCACACTTTAACTTTATAATAGCTTGAGTTTAAAGTGGGCGTGTCTCTTGACAGGTGCATTTTGATATTAAAAGGAATCACAGTATGTATTAACTCCACGATGCTCCTCACTACGGTAGTTGTAATGCTGCAAGTGGTGCGGCTTTGCAGTTTACTAAAGTCGTACTAAGACAGTCCAATAAATTCATATATAAGGCGCTCTGGATTATAAAGTGCGCAGTCGTTTTTTGATTAAATTAAAGCCTTTTAATTGCACCGTATAGTGTGGAAAATACGGTATTTGTCAGTAAAAATATATCATGATGGAAATGTTTCTGCATAGCTAAAGGTGGGTAAAGTAAGTAATTAAAACTTTTACTCAAGAGAACAGATACTTCAGACTAAATAGTGCTCAAGTAGGAGTTATGAGCATAGTATGTATTTTTCTGGAGGTGGCACATTGCCTAGAATTAAGAGTTAAAACCATACTTCGGAACATTCTTCATAGAAATAGATATGTTTTTGCCATACTGGAAGTTTAGAGCCAAAGGAACAACATTTCCATGGAAAAAGTATAAGGTTTGTGGAGATGCAAGCCGATTCAGAGTAAGGATACATGTTTTTTGGTGCAATAAACACACAAATTGAGAGAAAACATGCTTTTATTTTAGGACATTTTGTAGCTAAAAGAAAGTTACATACTGTGGCTTTAAAGTGTGATGAGAAGTACAGTTTTGTTACTCGATTAAAAGCTACTGAGTCCTGCCCACCTCTGCGGCCTGTTAATAGTTGGGAGCTGCGGATGAGCCAGACGAGGCAGTGCAGAGCGGTGCACATGGCGAGAGAAATAGAGGGATTACGGTTAATCCATCATAAATGAGTGCATTTGTTTATGAAGCTTAAAAAACTCCATCTAGAATATGGAATAATCCAGCCTCATTTAATCATCGACGTTCAGCAAAGAGACACTCAACTGTTCACTTGGGCTGATCCTTCCCATTACGACCACCGCAGCCACCGAGCCGCCACACGCTTCACGTATTACACTGTAAAACACACTCGTATCTGTGGGTTTAAGTGACTGGAATTTGTTTTTTGAAATGTTTGGGGTTTGTATTTCATTACATTTAAAACATTCTGATTCTATGTAGCGCATGTTAATGAATAAATTTGTAACAATACTAATATAAAGGCAATATTTAGTGCAATTTGCTCATTCCACTGGCAAGTCATATTATATAGATGTAAAAATGAAAGCAGCAAAAAAATCATGCTTGTCTCCATGGAGATCATAATACTTTGCCCGTATGTTCCACAGTATGGCGTTGCATTTATAAATTTATGTACAAGCCTTTACAAAAAGACTATAAAGTGTTACGTTTTGAAAGATATAGAGCTCTGGAATGAATTAATTAAGAGTTAAATTTTGTTTGTTTTAATTTATATTCTGTCTTTGCATACACTATCAGTCAAACGTTTTAGAACACCCTAATTTTTCCAGTTATTTATTGCAGTTCAAGTCGTGCAAGTTCAATGAAGAGCTTGAAATGGTACAAAGGTAAGAACTGAACAGACAGAGGTTAAAAAAAAAAAGATAAAAGATACAAAACACAAGTCCAAGCTCTGCCAAAACTACCTCAGGAACAAAGAACAAGATGGTAAACTTGAAAACATAGAGTGTCCAGCACAGTCTTCAGACTTAAACTCCATCGAGCTGGTTTGGGATGAACTGGGCAAAAGAGTCAAAGCCAAGAAACCTACAAGTGCCACACATTTATGGAAACTTCTGCAACAGACTTGAGAAGAACTTTCTGAAGAATATTTGATTTCTGTTGTAAAAGGAATGATATGACATGTGTTCAGCTGTTATATCTGTCAAAGGTGGACACTTTCATGAATCAAAAGTTTAGAATACATTTTGGTCAACAATAAACAGGGTAATGACCGAAAGAATGAGATCGCGGATACAAGCGGTCGAAATGAGTTTCCTCTGCAGGGTGGCTGGGCGCTCCCTTAGAGACAGGGTGAGGAGCTCAGTGATACGGGAGGAGCTCGGAGTAGAGCCGCTGCTCCTCCACGTTGAGGAGCCAGCTGAGGTGACTCCGGCATCTGTTCCTATCCCACCAGCAGGAGCCCCGGGGAAGACCCAGGACACACTGCAGGGACTATGTCTCTCAGCTGGCCTGGGAACGTCTTGGAGTCCCCCTAGAGGAGCTGGAGGAAGTGTATGGGGTGAAGGAAGTCTGGCAATCCCTGCTTAGGCTGCTGCCCCCACGACCCGACCCCAGATAAGCGAAAGAAAATGGATGTATGGATGACAAACATGCATTCTTATTCTAAGCTTGCTCACCTCTCCACAGATATGACTTGTAACTTGGTCCAGCGGTTTAACATTCATGCATCCATGATACACGCTGATTAACATGATATGTTAAATTCAATATGGTGGTACATATAGGAGCGTCTGTAACATCTCCTTCAGAAAAGTTACACAGTGCACCTTTAACACCTGTAAACACACATATTTTTACAGTGTACATCCTGAAGCATGTCGTGTTTATGGCCCATATTAACAGTATTAACAGTCTCACTCCCCCCGTGTTATAATCTGTCATGTACAGAAGTGGGTCGAGGGGCTGCTTTAATGCACACTTGGTTTTAACCCTTTGCGTCCCGCGCCGGCTCGGTAAAGTCTGCATTAACCTCCCGTTTTGATAATACATCTCTCAGATACAGTATCCATTAGACTAAGCTGCCCCACCCATCGCCCGCTCTAATTACACACCCAAGCATGAAATCAGCCGCCTCTGTGATGTCACGGGGCAATGTTTGATTAGCACGAGTTATGTAAGGCTCCACTTCATAGTAGTTATAAAACCAGCGACTTTCACAGCTTCCTGTTGTGCTGAAAATGGTAATGAAGCAGATGATTGTGATAGTGTTTCTGTTCAAATGTTCCCGCAGTCATTCATTTGAGATAAGAGTAGTGTTAATTAAAAAGAACATCACTTGCATTTTCAGCCAGTCTGACATTATATCAGTAAAATAACCTGCACCAAAAGAACAATTCAAAAATTAAGGCTGTGCAATTAATTGAATTTTGATCGTGATTTCAATTTGTGTGTCAAACGATCTCCAAACTAATCAAGTTGAAACGATTTAAAGCTTAACAAAGTTTATTTTGGGTATATTTAAGTATATTTATAGAGATTGTAGAACAGCTGGATATATAGTTTATTTTGGACACATTTATGTCTTTTTCTGTGCCTTATTTCATGTTTAAAGTATATTCATTTTATATTTTATACACTGCAAAACTGCTCTAAGGTCCATATTTGTAGCTATATTTATTTTCCAATTTGAAAGTTTTGCGTAAATTATCAATAACAAAGTGTTTTTTGGGTTTTTTTTTTTGAGAGAGAGGAATTTTTGACACCTACATAGGACCATGATACGGAAGCCGAGAGGGGTCACAACAAACGCAAACGCCACAACAAATACAAATGCAACAACACAACAAAAAGCAACACACAACAAATGCACAACAATGCACAACAACAAACACAACACAACAAAAAGCCACAACACACCAAAAAAAGTCACAACGGAAATGACCGCAGGACTCTATTTTAATGCAAACGCCGCAACAAATACAAACGCCACGACTCAAACGCAAATGCTGCAACACTTTAAAAAGCCACAACACATCAAAAAGCCACAACGGAAGTGACCTGCGGGACTCTTATTTTCCGACGGACCGATCAAGCGGCAAGTGAAGAAGAAGAACTTCAATGTGAAAAGTAAAGGAATGGAGAAGTTGGAAACGTAAGTAAAAGTAATTTATTGTTTTATCATTATTCATTTCAGTTTGTAGTTCTTCTTCTTCACTTGCCGCTTGATCGGTCCGTCGGAAAATAGAGCCCCGCGGTTATTTCCGTTGTGGCTTTTTTTGGTGTGTTGTGGCTTTTTGTTGTGTTGTCACATTTGTATTTGTTGCAGCGTTTGCGTTTCTTCTCACCCTTCTCGGCTTCCGTACCATGAGCACTGGTATTGTTTTTCACACTTTATGGGCTGTGTTTGCTATTGTGTGCTTTGTGGCACCGTGGTAACTGCTGAACATTCTGCCATATACATGTATGCAGAACACCTCAAGCATGATGTCACCGCAAAGTATCAACATAGGAGTAATATTCCAGTATAACAGTACTATTGACTGCCTTCCTGGTTTAATCCTGATGGAGACAGAGTTTGGTTTTGTTCTAGTTCTGTTTTAGTTTAGTCAAGGTCTCGTCTCATTAGTCCTGGTTTAGTTCCAGTTTTGATGTTGCATGCTGTGTGAATGAAACCTGGATTTAATAAAACTTTTGGCCCGTATTCATGGGTTTCAGAAT